TGATACAGACACAGGAGTGGGCCCTTCAGCTTGACGAAGCTGGTTTGCCATTTTGCTAGTACCTGGAGCTCTGTACAATAAACCAATTTCTCCACCTTTTCTTCCTTAAGATATATTCCTACAGCTCAAGCATCTACCTTGCAACGTTCAAAGACCATAAAATAAATTGCATTCACTATTTTTTTTATTGATCAGCAGGTGTCTGATAAATGCAGAAACCAAACGCCAACCCAGGAACTATCTCAGATTGAGAGTTCCCCATTGCCAAGCAACCCAATCACAGAAACTTCTCTGTCTAAAATGCCTGGTGCACTCTCTCACCAAAAGCCCATACCCCACTTATCTAATTCCAGAAGACTAAATGCAAATTAATAATAATAATAATCCTTGCATTTGATATAGCGCTTTTCACGTCGGGAGGACATCCCAAAGCGCTTCACAAATTGGCAAGAACCAAGGCTTAGGTGCCCCAGGGCACATTGGTATACTGCTGGAGTTTAACAGCCAAAACTGCATAGCTTGTTATTGCAAGCTCCCTGCTCCTTAGCCAGCTTGGAACACTCATTAGGGCTTTGGTCTGCAGGAATAACAGGGGCTGAATGGGAAAAAGGCCTGCCATTGAGCCAGGCTTGCCGGACGTCCTCCCGACGTGAAAGGCGCTATACAAATGTAATTTGTTGTTGTTGTCATCAGCATTGCCTTGGGGCTCATGAACTGGATTGCAACAGAGCGTTGATTTCATCGACAATCCATTGTCAAGCACGTCACCTTAGAATCAGCTCAATGCCAAGGAGACGCCAGGAACAAGGAAAAAGGACCCCACTACCCCACCCCCCCAACCCATCCATTTACGGCTTCTAGGGCATTATTTCACACTCACAATTGATTGTGTTGAGAAATGTTCCTGGTTGCACTGGATGAGTACATTCCCTCACAGTTGCAATATAATTAGACTCTGGCATTTTGCTTTATGTAGCTGGCGGCATCAATTAATCAGAACCAGAACAAGAATATGTCTGAAATAAAATATTTAGCGATGCATTCCCGAGTCCCAGGAGCAGAGTAGACCTGAGTCTACGAAGAGTGTCCGAGTCCGAAGCAGCAGAACCAGCTCAAATCAACACCAGATGATTTCCTGGCTCCTCTCTGCCATAGTTACTTTGGGAGATCGAGGCTCTTTGGGGAGAGAATGGCTGACACTCTTTGGGGAAGAGGAGACTTGACAATGGGAGTGTGGGGGGAGCAAAGAAAAAGAAGGGGAGGTAGGGAAGAGAGAGAGATGTTTTTAGTTACAATATATTTATGGTGCACGCAGCTTCTGTTTCTCACGCTTCACAAACGTTCCATTTTAAGGTCTCAAGTGCACCGCTGACATCACCTTCCTGACAGGCACTATGGCCGGCATCACTTCCTGCGTGTTGCAAGTGCCGCTGACATCACTTCATAAAGGCATAGCAACAACAACAACAAAATTACATTTGTATAGCGCCTTTCACGTCGGGAGGATTTCCCAAGGCGCTGGACAGACAGAGTTACGGACCCGAGCTGGGGGGAGGGGTGGGAGGGAAGCACCATTAGCATTGCACATTTGTTTGGCGTTGCATTCAGGAAGAGTGTATCAGCAATGACCTGGAAATTGGCTTTTTTTAAATGCTTCACTTATATCATGGTTACTGAGATCAGACCCAGCCGAGGGCTGTAAGTGGAGGAGAGTGAATTACTAAAGTAGATTCTATTATAGTTTGGCTGCTCCAAGCTCTATGCGGCAGAGCTCATGGATCAGGTATGGATTGTAATTCAATATCAACCATTTGCAATTATATAGCATTCTCACACTGGGAAAACATCTCAAAATGCAGAGGTAGGATGATGAGGCAGAGGGGTCCTGTGGAGCGTAATAACTGCAATTTTGCAAAGGCGGGATACAGTGCTGGAGAAAAAACAGAGGTCGATGACACTGACCAAAAAAGTTTTGCCCACAAAGTATGCAGTCAATTCACTTTATAGTATATTCTGTGAAGCGCTTTGAGACATCTCGAAGACCTGATAAAGCACTGTATCAAATGTAAGCATTATTTTTTTATTTTCAAGAGTGATGGGGGGGCGGGGAAGGTCAGCAAGAAGCTAGGGCTAGCTGGACTGGAGTGGTGTGAGAATAGGATCAAGGGAGCAGGTTGTGAGAATCAGCAATATGGTGATATCACTAATAAGGTGGTCTGGGAGATGTGGGGGAATGGGGTCAAGGCAGAAGATTTCATGTGGGGAAAATAAGAGGGATGAGGGGAAGACAGAATCAAAGGTGTGAAGGGTAGAGGCGCTTGAGGACAGGAGTGGAGGGTGGTACAGGAAGCCAAGCAACTGATTATGTTGATTATTGGTTATTAAGAAATCCATGACGTCCTTGTAAGAATGGCACCAGAATCCTTCCTGGAAAAATAACCAGGGCTGCTGTGGATGGGTTAAACTAAGGTGGCAGAGTAGGGAGGGGGAGTGAGCCTGATTTGATACGGGGGTGGGGGAGGGAGTGAGAAAATAGGGCCTTGCAGAAATCAAAATAACCTTAATGTAATAATTGGCAGAGGAGAGGTGAGCAGAATTGGGAATACTCGGGGAGGAGATACTAGTGGAAAATAACAAGGAAACAGTGAAAGGTGGGAGTCTGTTGCACTGCCTGTACTGTTACACACAGAGCATTGGGAACTAACTGGAAGGTGGGAGTCAAAAGTGAGGGATTGTCTACTGACAACAACACATCACCAGCCGGGTATAACTGACCTGTCACCACAAACTAAGTCAACTCACATTCATTCCCCATTGGTGGGTGAACAATCCAACACTTGGTGAATTCTGCTTCACAGGAGGAACATTAACAGAAACATGGTTATAACTGCACATGATTGGCAATTAAATACTGCAAGATACAATATATTTAGAAAGGATAGAGGGAAAAGGGGGAGGTGAGGTAGGAGTATTGGTCAGAGACTCTAAAAGAAGGAAGAGATATAAATAATTTAGGGTAGAGATAAAATCCACCTGGTGAGAGATAAAGGATGAAAAAGGAGTAACCACACTCCTATGACAGCCAATCAACAGTGGAAAAATAGAAGAAAATGAAGTTAGATAAGGGAGCTGAGCACAAACTGAGCACAAATATCATTCGTCCCCAGAGAGATTGGCAGAGAGGGAGAAGTAGGTAAGGAGAGGGTGGAGAGTGCGATGTGGGCAGGACTGTTTTCTGTCCCAATACGTAAAACCTCCCAAAAGAAGAGATCAACCGGGTTATGGGCAATGAGTCAGAGCAGGTCAGGAATTTGAACATGGGGGAGCACCTCGGGAGCACTGCCAACAATATAAGGTTCAAAACAATTGTAGAAAAGGAGACAGACAATACGAGGACCAGGAATTGGAAAAAAGCTAATTAGAATTGTATGAGGAATGAACTAGCCACGGTAGACTGCAGGGGAAAACTCGCAAACAAATACGTTGAGGAACAATGGAAGATTTTTAAGCACAAACAAATTGAGGTGCAGGAAAAATATATTTAATTAAGAAGGGAAAATTAATTAGTAATGGGACGCCATGGATGACAAACTGCAGCTAAGGTAAAAAAGATTTGAAAATTAAAGATTAGATAACGGTGAGGAATACAGGAGGGAATATAGCTATTTAGAGGAGATTAGGAAGGCAAAGAGGAACCATGAGGAGAATATAGCCAAAAATATAAAATGAAACAGCAAGGTGTTCTATAGGCATGTTGGCAATGTAAGAAAAGTCAAAGAAGGGCTAAGACCATTAAGGGGACAAGGGGAGAAGCTCACAGCAAATAATGAAATGGCATAAATACTAAATGAATATTTTCACAAAGGAAACTGATAAGCAAAAGCTAGTAAGAGCAGGGTGAAAATCACAACAGTTAAGATAATAATCCTTGCATTTGATATAGCGTCTTATCACGTCTTCGAAACATCTCAAAGCACTTCACAGAATATACTGTAAAGTGAATTGACTGTATATTTTGTGAGCAAAACACAGTAGCCAATTGCGCACAGCAGTGTCCCACAAATAGTCGTGGATTGAGTGACTAATTTATTAATTTTTTTAAGGAATTATTACCCCCAGAAAAGTGATCTGCCAATCGACTAACACCCAGGTTCCTACTTACTGCTGGTAAACAGAGGTGTGTGGAGTAAGGAAACTTGCCCAACGATTCGCCCTGACCGGGAATCAAACCCAGGTCCTCTTGCTTGTGAGGCGAGTGCTCTAACCACTGAACTACAGGATTAGCAGCCAATGAGAACCCGGGTAAAGAGGTTGTTGGTTGATTTAAGATTGTGACTTTCTGCTTTTCCACCTAGTCTTGTGAGTTTTGATATCTAGGCATTTACCCAGAAGCTTTCAGTTGGAATCTGCTGAGTTTCAAGTGTATGAAGATGGTGCTGACCATCTTCAAACTCAGCAGATTCCAACTGAAAGCTTCTGGGTAAATGCCTAGATATAAAAACTCACAAGACCAGATGGAAAAGCAGAACGTCACAAACCAAGGGCAAATGGTCTGTCCGGATAGCAACTTTTGCATTCTGTGCTGTAACAAACTGAATGCTGGCTGTATTATTACTGCCACAAAACCACTTTCCACTTCCAAACATTTTCCAACAATGATGACTATTGCTAAAATCTCTTATTTGAGATTTGAGATGGAGAGATCTAATTGATGACCATCACATGCATTGATTTCACAACAACGGCCTACGACACAAAAATTCGATACTGGTCAGTTTGCAATTTATACAGAAAAGCTAGCAGCAGCAACCCAAGCCAAGAGCAGAAAAAGAGTCCGATTGTGATACCCATCATTGTTTAAGCAAGATAGCAGCCATATTGCCCATTTTCCTAGACCACAGCCCAGTATTGTGCAATTAACACTATTCACCACCTATAATTGCCCCAATTATTTAACCATTATTTCCCAGCTTTGCCGTTATCTAGAACAAGAACAATACCATCAATTGAGGCCTGCTGACGGGGGATTTTACGTTTGGCGTAATCGTGGTCAATCGGAGTGGCTGTGTAAGGTGGGGATGTCAGACCTGGACCTGAGGTAAGGTTTCCTTGACCTTGCTGGGTTCCAACAGAAGAGTGTGAGTCATCATCATTTGTACAGGACTTTTCCCTAAAGGCAGAGTGGGGTGGGGGAAGAGAGAAGAGAAAACAGTAAGATAACGCTTTCAGTCCCTAGAAGCCATGACTTCCGGTAAAGATTCTCATTCAAACATTTTAAGCTTACAACACAGAGCAGAAGAACATCAAGTAGAATAAGTCTTCACTTTTCTGGGTTAGTTTACTGTCTTGCGTAGATGTAGCAAATAAACTCATAGAACGTTGAATTGGCAGCAAGGTAAACAGAAGCTGCAGGATCGTTACCACTAGATGTCCCTCTTGTGCTTCCTCACTTTGTGGGGCTTTTCATTTCATGAATTCCCCAAGAAATACATTTTAATGCTTGAAACTGAAATGCTACTTACCAAAGTACAAAGTGCTACAAAACATTAAAATATTACAAAGAAAGTTGATGAATGAATCCATACACATTAAAAGCTACTTTGCAACCTATCACTCCACTAGCCCTACATCTCACCCATCTTTGCCCAGCTCCACTGGCTCCTTATTCCCCCCAGTGGATCAACTTTACAAGTTAGAAAATAATATCTCGGGGATACAGTATACAGTTTGTGACACAACGTGTCAAGGGACTGCCAGGATGGACCTCAGTCTTCTTTCGCCAGCAAATTAAGACTCTCGTTCTACCTTCAAATGCCTCCATGTCCTTGCAACACCCTCTATCTGTGATTTCCTGCAACCTTATTTCCCTGGACACTCCCTCAGGTGCGACACCGATGGCCTATTTCACACTGACCACCTGCTCCATCCCACCATTGGCGGGGGAGTGTTCAGCCACTTTACCCTGCTCTAAAGATCCCTAAAATCGCCCTTCCATCTCTACTTTCAAAATCCTGCTTGAAGACCGACTTTGACTGTGCCTTCAGCCACCATCAATCTCCCTCCCACTCAGCTCTTGTTAACAACAACAAAAACAAATTACATTTGAAGAGCGCCTTTCACGTCAGGAGGACATCCCAGCTCTGTGGCTATGAGTAATGTATACCCCACACATTGTAATTTTGTTGGTATAATTTATGACAATCAGTAGAAGAATTTCTAAATAAGGAATTGAGTTAGAATCCTGTCAATCTGTGGAAAAGTCACTCTGGGAATAGAAAGTATCAGCAATATTTGAAATTACCAGATGGTATTTCCATTTGTCGAACAAATATTCCCTTCAATAAAAACATGACCAGGGCTGGGAGAAAAGAGGCTTATTCCCCCTACATACACTTTGTCCTATTCATGTTCCTGAACAGCTGTTATGTGCACCACACAAAGACAACACTCAAAATAAAAACATGGGAATTTTCTCCACAGGAGTCGTTCAGCCCAGCGTGTTCATGCCACTGCTGCCCGTTTTTCTAAATCTCCTCTTTTTAACAAATTGTATTTTCCAGCTCTTTCCCCATATCCCTTGATGATAATAATAATGATGATAATAATCCTTGCATCGAGAAGTCTCAAAGCTCTTCACAGAATATCCAGTAAAGTGGGTTGGCTGTAGACAGTATTTTGTGGATGAAATGGGTCAGGCAATTTGCACACAGCATTGTCCCATAAACACCATGAAGTGAGTGACCAGTGGTATTTGGGGATTGCTTGTCAGCACACTGGGAGAGAGGAACTCTCTGTCTGAACAGGCAGATGAGGCCTCGGTTTAACATCTCATCCAAACAATGCAACACTCCCCCAGCGCTGCACTGGATTGTCACCTTTCAAATCCCAATGTGGGGCTAGAATCTACAACTTCTGACTCAGAGGTGAGTGTGTGCCAGGCTTAACGTTGTTAATATTATATTTCTATATTGAATATATACCTATATAACTCTTAAAATCAAGTAGAAACAAAAATGTCAAGAAATACCAAATTTGCCCACTGCTGTGAAATAAATCCAATTAATTTAATCAAGCTGGACCTGCCCTTTACAATTCCATACTACTATCCCAGATTAATAATAATGCATTTGATACAGTACCTTATCACGTCTTCGAGACGTCTCAAATCACTTCACAGAATATAATGTAAAGTGAATTGACTGTATATTTGTGGGCGAAATGTAGCAGCCAATTGCGCACAGCAATGTCCCACAAAGAGTCATGGATTGAAGTGACCAATTTATTATTGTTTTTTTGAGGGATAATTATCAGGCGTGTGGTGTAAGGAAACTTGCCCAGTTTCACCCTGCTTAGAATCGAACCCAGATTTCTCGCTTGCGAGGCAGGTGCTCTAACCACTGAGCTAAAGGGCTCCAAAATCTCTGCCTTTCCAAGTGTTTACATATTTCAATCTGTATTATTATTATTTTAAAGAAGTTTATCTACTTCTTTTGCCTTTCCCCGTTTTTGGGTTAACAAATAAACCTGCGTGTGCAAGTGGGTGATTAATTCATCTGATCACTTGACTGCTATCAATGTCAATGGATTTTTTTTGGGTCACGTAGGTACCTGGCACACTCAGAAACCCATTACCATGCTTAAGAGCATCCAAACCAAACAGAGTTCCATGTATCCTACCTACACGTGGAAATTCTAGAGAATTTATTGGATTAACTAATGAAGTTTAGTTGTAAAGGGCAATTTCAGCAAAGATACCAAGAAATCAGCGGCTTCACTTCGTCTCCACAAACGGCTTCTCCTTCAGCCCCCGCACCATCTCGTGCAGTGTTTCTCAGGGCCCTGTCCTTGGTCCCCTCCTCTTCAACATGTTCCCTCTTCATCCGCAGACATGGGGTCAACTTCCACATGTATGCGGATGACACCCAACTCTACCTCTCTGCCTCCATCCTTGACTCCAGGACCCACTGCTGCCCTGACAGAATGTCTGTCAGATATCAAGTCCTGGATGAGAGCTAACTTTCTACAGTTGAACATCAACAAGATGCTTCTGATTGGCTCCTGTCAGCGCCTCCTCACCTCAGGCGCTGACAGCATCACCACCCATGGTTGCACACTCCAGCTTGCTAAGCCAGTCTGGAACCTTGGCGTCTTGTTTGACCCTCAACTGTCCTTTCTACCCCACATCCGTGCCAGGACCCGCAACATCGCCCGGCTCTGCCACTGCCTCTCCCCTCAGGCCATCGAAACACTCATCCATGCATTTATTACATTATTACTACGCCTACTCCACCTCTTCTCTCCACAAGCTGCAGAACATCCAGAACTCTGCAGCTCATGTCCTCTCCTGCTCCAAGCTCCGTGACCCTATCACCCCCACCCTCACCCGGCTCCGCTGACTCCCCATCATCCCCCAGAGGATAGAATTCAAAATCCTCATCCTCGCCTACAAAGCCCTCCACGGCCTTGCCCCTCCCTACTTCTGTGATCTGCTGACCCCATATCAACCTGTCTGCTGTTTACCTCTCATTGACCTTCAGGAAGTTCTTTTCTTCTCCTCTGGCAAAGGGTCCGTGCGCTGCCTGCTTTATGTAACTGAATAACATCTCGCAGTCTATGACGACTTCCTTCTTCTCCAGTAGTTTGAGGATGGAAGCATGAAGTCTGAAGTAGACCTGAATATTTAACAGCATAACAGTTTGAAAATAAATCATAACCTGCCCATTAAATACCCATCCACATCCATAACTTATCATTCAATTGCATTTAGCTGCGTAAGATAGGATTTAGAAATTTGCTATAAACCCAAATATGTGAAATATGCTGCAAAATATGTAAACCAACTTTAAAATTATGCATTTTTTTTTACACCAGTATTTTTTGACTATGTTCTTAAAAAGATTCAACAGTCATCTTCCTATATGTTCAAAAGTCTCCCAATTGCTATGAAGTTTGCATTAATTCAAGTTCTAATTCAGCATTTTCTTTGAAAAATCCGTGGAGCTTCTAAATCAGGGGTCTATCTCCAACCAGTTGATGGCAGCTAGGTGTCCTCTCGCACAACCTCAATAAAAACAAGAGGAATGAGTGATATTTACCTCAGTTTAAACAATAAAGTTTATATTTTTATTTTGAGATGCATGGAAATACTTATTTTTCAATTGGCCTCAATAGTTCTATTGTTCGTCTTGTCTTTTTGATCATGCCGAGAGAGCCATCTGGTGGTGATCAACTCGTTGTTCTAAATAGATCAATCCATGCAGGAAAAATTGGAAGAAATGGTGTTTCATAAACTTAGCCCTACTTTAAATTTTTAAAAACTCAACTGGATAATGACAATTCATTTGTCAAAACACAGGATTAAGAATGTCCATGTTTCCATAGAATTTCAGTAACATTCACTACTCCTACTTTGAAACAAAGAGGTTTATATGGAGCTTGGGAGAGTGTTCACAGCTGCGGAAATTTAAGACTTGAATTTAAAAGGTAAAATGGAAGCTACGGTCAATTCACTTTACAGTCTATTCTGTGAAGCGCTTTGGGACGTCCTCCCGACGTGAAAAGCGCTATATCAAATGCAAGGATTATTATTATTATTATTATTATTCTGTGAAGTGCTTTGAGACGTTGAGAAGATGTGAAAAGCACTATATCAAATGCAAGTATTATTATTATTATTATTACATTTGATGACTATAAACCACTTAAGAATTTCCCTCGCATTTCAACATCTTGGTAACAAATCTTATCGATTGTTTTATTCTACATACAAGACATATGGACTAAAATAATTTTTAAAAATTGGTTAAACGACTTTTAATCCATTAATTTGAGATACATGAAATACTTTGTTTTCAATTGGACTCAATAACTACACAGTTCTATTGTTCCTTCCACTTGCCTTTTTGTTCATGCCTAAAACATTTGAATCTGAGATGATTCAGAGTCCTAATGTGAATAATGGACAAAGCTATTAATTAAAACTATCCAAGACATTCAATCCTTAAAGCTAAGGTAAACATTTGTCTCTGTACCTCGAGAGCCTCCATAGCAAGGTCTGGAGGGTTGTGATAATGGATCTTCCGAGGGTAGTGAGCAGCATCCTCATGTAAGTTGTGTGCTCCCTGGACAAAACAAATATAGGTAACGTAAGACTACAAACCATTGGTTAGGTGTATAGTTATTGGTTAGGCTACAGCTGCATTCAGTACCGGGCACCTCGCTTCAGGAAGGATGTTAAGGCCTTGGGAGGGGGTACATAGGAACTTACAAGAATGATAGAATGGGCCTGTTTTTACTGGAGCGGTGAACATAAGAATTGCAAGGTCCATCTAGTTCATCTTGCACCATCCTGGCAGTCACTTGACATGTTGTGTCCCAAACTATATACTGTATCCCCAAATATTATTTTCTAGCAGAGAAGGTTGAGAGGGCACCTGATAGAGGTGTATAAAATGATGAGGGGCGTAACAAGGTGAATGGTGAGAAGCTATTTCCACTGGTAGGAGAATCCGTGATTAGGTGACATCGGTAGAAGATAGTCACAAGAAGAGCAAATGGAGAGTTTTTTTTCCACACACAATGGTTAATGGGAGGTGGAATGCCTTAAGATGGTGCAGTGCATTGTTGGTTTCAAGAGAGAGGTATACAAGAGTTAGGGAAGCTTTAAGGGATAAGGGAAAACCACAAATCTTTCCAACAACAAAGGGCTAAGATATCAATTAAAGTGGATCATAAGACGAGCAGCACGGGAAAAGTGAACTGGAAAAAGTGACTTTTTCCACTGAAACAAAGGTTGAGGGTTGTCCTGATAAAGGTCTTTAAAATTACAAGGGGGTTTGATAAGCGTCAATAGGGAAAAAATATTTCCAATGATCAGTGCCCGGATGGCATCAATAAAGGATAGTAAACTTGCAAATTGGTAGGTGAGGAGAATTTGTTTCATGCACAGAGTAGTTAGTATATTCAATGCCTGGAACAATCCATATTAGCTTTCAAGGGGGGACTAAACAAGTATCTTAAAAAGAGTCAACTGGAGGGGTGTGGGGAAAAGGCAGGTAAATGGGGCTGAAAGGATCGCTCTTGAGAGAGCCAGCACAGACATGATGCGCCGAAAGGCTGCACTCTGTACTATAACTATCTATGGTTCTAATGGTGATTGACAAGTCACCATGGTTTTTACGTGTGCAGGAGTGTGGGAAGCACATAGCTCAGCAACCTATATTGCTTTCCCCACGTCGATCCAAGATCCGGTTCCATTTCAACAGGATGTTGGGAGGACAGAGAGTGAAATAGTACAAAAGAGTCTGAGGCACTGGCCTGAACCCTGACCTTCTTGTAATGCTGCAAGTATTCCTTCGGAGGCTGTTTCTGCTTTTCTGCTATTTTGCCCAACATGTAATGGATGAGCCATTCCTCCTCATCGCCATCTCCTTCACAGTGTGCCGCTGACAAGAAGCACTGCTTGGCTGTCTCCAGCATGCTGTCTCTCCTCTCTGCCATCTGCAGTGCACAACAGGTACAATGAAACTCACAACAGAACAACAGCCTGTGTCAGCCTAGCTCAGTGGGTTGCACTTTCACTTCCAAGTCAGACCATTGTGGATTGAAGTCCCACATTGGGACTTGGAACTCACATAAACTAGGCTGACACTCGAATGCCCTGCTGAGGTGCCACTGCTGCATTGTTGCAGATACAGACATTAAACCGAGGTCTCATCTGCTTGTTTAGGTGAACCTTAAAGCTCTCGTGGCACAAGTTGAAAAGAGAACGGAGTTTCTCCCGATCAATAATACCAGAGAAAATTGGTAATTTGCTCCATGGCTGTTTGTAAGATATTACTGTGTGCAAATTGGCTTCTGTATTCATTTCCAAATATACAGTCACTACACTTTACAGTAAATCTTGAAAAGTTTTGATATAACTCCTAATATGAAGGGTTCAATATCGAATACAAGGATTATTATCATAACATTTAATAAAATTTTAAACAAGTGGGGCAGTGATTATAATCTTGCTAAATGGTTCAAATGTATACTCTAAAAGAGTGTGCTTCAGACAGAACATACTGATTTCTTTCCAACATGAAAGGCACTTTACAAGTGTAATTTGTTGTTGATTTGCAGCACAATATAATAATCCTTGCATTTGATATAGCATCTTATCCAGTCATTGAGACGTCTCAAAGCGCTTCACAGAATATATTGTAAAGTGAATTGACTGTATTTTGTGAGTGAAACCCGGCAGCCAATTGGGCAAGAAATGTCTCACAAACAGTTGTGGATAGAGTGACCAAATTATTAATTTTTTTGGAGGGATTATTATCCCCGAAAAGCAACCAGGTTCCTACTTACTGCTAGGGAAACAGAAGCGTGTGGAGTAAGGAAACTTGCCTAAGGTTTATCACTAGGTTTTTTTTCTTCATCACATGCGATTTCAAAAATAGATTTTTTTCTCTTGCAGTCTTGGTTGCCAAACCACACTACTATCTCCAACTGCTGTGAAGTGAAGAGCAACTCTCTTCTAAAATCCCTCCACCTCCATTCTCCCCGCTTTCAAAATCCATTTTCTTTTTTGATCAGCCGGGTGTCTAACACTTACAGAAACTATCACCATGCTTAAGAGTATCCAAACAGAGTTTCATGCACCCACCTACACGTGGAAATTCCTGTTTATTGGAACGAAATGCACATCTCTCCCTGATAAGACACATCCTTCTTATCTAATTCCAAAGAGTATTAGACTAAAGTCGACAAGATCAAACAAAGAACTCAGAGTGCATTAGGGTAACTGCTGGAGTCTAACTGGATAAACCACATAACTTGCCATTGAAAGCACTGACTGGAAAGCTTTCCCGCTGTTTGTCCAGCTAGGACCACCCTTACCCATTAGTGCTTTGGTTTTCAGGTTTAACAGGAGCTGAGTGGGAAGAATCCCTGTGACTGTGGACTCTGACCCCAGTAATTGTGGTCTTTCCCTTGAAGTCCTACCAATGAGCCGGCTTCCTGGGTCATCAGCTGTGCCCTGGAATACTCTGAACTCGCTTGGTCCAGGGGGAGACTACTGAGACCCCCCACAAAGGGATGGCTCAATTCTGGCATTCCATTGCCAAACATGTCACCTTGGAGCCAGTTCAGCTGCAAGTAGCACTCCGTTTCCTACTCCCCCCAACACCCACCCCCACCCAACAAGCAGGATATCCACTACCAAAACCACTGTACAACATGACAAGACTTCTGATGACCAGGTCAAGTGGGTGTTTGAGGGAGTTGATCTGATGGTTGGGGGAAGTGAGCACAGGGAAGTACATAAATGAGACAGACTAAGAAGAAGGAAATTCAACACAAAATATCTACTATACTCCATTTTTCATCGGAATTTCTAAACCACATACCATCATAGGAGGGCTGGCAAACACCAGTAATGAACTGTAGATTACGTAACAATTCATCCTCCCAACCTGAAAGGTGCTATATAAACGTATAAATATATAAATGTAAATTTTATATTGTTTTATATTGTATTGAGTTACCATATTAGTTTTACTGGCATTTACAAATATCTTTAAGTTCTTACCTGCTGTACAACTTCTGTTGGCAATTCCATTTTCCACTGTTTCAGCTGACGAGAGGCAAAAGAGTGCAGTGCATAGGACATGGAGCCATATTCAATCCACAATGAGAGATTAGAACTGTCTATCGCCAGTGCTCGTTTAAAGCAATTCAACACCCCCACTGAATGCTTCCAAACGGGACCATCGCTCTTTAACTCATTTGAATTCAGCTTATCCTGGATACGACTGGCTCTAGCCAATGCCATACCCGCCCAGGAATCAAATCTACAGAACACAGAAGTTTGACGTTTTAGGTAAAGTCGTCTGCAGAATAAAACATACATTTTACACAGCAACAGGAGGTGGTTATCCAGCCGTCAAGATTGTTCTGCTGTTTTATTAGATCATGTCAGATCCTTTGTACTTTCTCCCAACTTTTCCTCCATCGTTTAAATGCCCTAACTTCCGAAATATCCATCACTGTTTTAAAGATCCCAATCAATTCTGCATCTGGGGCCTTCTGTGGCAGCACATTTCAGGCTATAATCTACTGTACAAGATTTTTCACAGCAGAATTTATCCCCTATATTATGTTGCACTAACATGGTATCTTAGTCTGCATTTGAAGCTGTAAGAGCAGCTCAGCCTATACGACAGTGTTGAAGAAACTAACGTAATTCTTCTTTCTATATATTCTACAATATAATCTACACTTGATTCAAATCCAGATTTTAATTTGAATAATAATTCTTCCTTTTGATATAGCTCCTTATCACTTCTTCGAGACGTCTCAAAGCGCTTCACAGAATATACTGTAAATTTGCTGTATATTTTGTGGGCGAAAAGCGCCAGCCAATTGCACACAGCAGCGTCCCACAAACAGTCATAGGTTGAGTGACCAAATTATTATGTTTTTTTTAAAAAGGAATTATTACCCCCAGAAAAGCAATCCACCAATCGACTAACAACCGTGTTCTTACTTACTGCTGGGTAAACAGAGGGGTGTGGTGTCAGGAAACTTGTCCATTGTTTCTCCTTGCCCGGGAATCAAACCTAGGTCCTCTCACTTACGAGGCGAGTGCTCTAACCACTAAGATACAGGACTCGAGGAATTTTAAACCAATATAATTAGCAGATTGTACCTGGCCGGACAAACACATATGTCATGCATGTAGAATTTGATAGCTTTTGCCTGTTCTTTGTTCTTGAAATGATAGTCGGCCAAGAGATAATACAACTCGTTAACCAGAAGCCCAGAATCTGTTCCTTCGGGGAGAACCGGAACCTGCAGACCAACAAGAGAAACATCAGAACAAAACCTATTCATTCAAAGAGTTAAGAGAACTTCGATTGCCCTCGGACATCACTTAAGCCGGACAAAATGGCCGCCCTGATGTGTCAGCCTCAAGCGGCTTCCCCTCTTCCCAACTTTATGAAATAACTCCCTTCACTTGGTTATCAAGATCATTGTTACAGACTTTTCCGCTCAACCCTTTGCGCCTGCGTTGAACGATTACCGTGTTGCCGGAGCCTTCGATGTAAGCTGTGACGTTCTCTATTGTAAGAGGCGGCTTGCCCGGCTGAGGAACAATCATCGCAATCTTCTTCAGGAGGTTGGCCAGATCCGCGGATACTGTGCTCGTCTTGTAACTGTCGAACTCCGGGTGGTTCTTGGGTTTGAAGTAATCGAACATGAATTCGGCGTCGTTCCAAATCAATTCCACCTGCAGTTTACATACATACATACATACATACACACACACATCCCCACACACACACACATACATAGGGAAACAGCTTCAGTTATATATAGGCCGTTCAGAGTGTGTCGGGGTCTAATTTGTGTATTTCTTAAGAGGATTCTTTACGAATGAACGCAAATCTAAGGAATACTAAATACTGGGCCACTCTTCTACCCTTCCCCCCTCCCTGATTCCCCCCACCACCACCACTCTCCCCAGCTCAGATCCAAATCCCTGACTGTCTGGCATCTTGGGACGTCCTCCCGCCGTGAAGGGCGCTGTGTAAATGTAACTGTGTATTGTATTGAGCATTCTGTAAGAGAGAGGGGATAATGTGGGCATAAATCCGATACCTGCTGAGCAGAATGTTCCTCCAGGTAACGAGCTTTGCTCTTCTTACTGGGATATGCGTACAGACAGTAAAAACACTGCTCAAGGGCTGTCTCCAGCTCCTCTTTAAATGGATGGGCGTCTTCAGCTCTGGAAGCCGACAACTCCTTCTGAAGCACTCGCACCTGCCAAAATAGCCAACGACAATTTATAATAATAAATAATAACAATCCTTGCATTTGGTACAGCACCTTATCACGTCGTTGAGACGTCTCAAAGCACTTCACAGAATATACTGTAAAGTGTAGTGACTGTATTTTGTGGCCAATATGCGGCAGCCAACTGCGCACAGCAGCGTCCCACAAACAGTCGTGGATTGAGTAACTATTTTTTTCTTTTTTTTTTGAAGGAATTATTACCACCCAGAAAAGCAATCCACCAATTGGGGATTATCAACCAGGTTCCTACTTACTGCTAAGTAAACAGAGGTGTATGGAGTTAAGCAAACTTGCCCAACATTTCGCTCTGCTGGGAATCGAACCCAGGTCCTCTCGCTTGTGAGGCGAGTGCTCTGACCACTGAGCTACAGGACTCAGTTGTTTAATCATATAGCAGATGAAACAACAACAATTCACATTTATATTGTGGCTTTTGTGTCAGGAGGAGCCTCAAAGCACTTCACACGTAAGGAGCATAATAGGACATCACTCCAGTAAAACGGGTATAAAAAAAACAGTTTGGGTACATAATAGGGACTGCTTTACTGAGATACTCACATAGAACTTGAGCAGAGCACCCTCAGAATTACAGCACCAGGACCGTCGACCCAGGTATTCATGTGCTGTGTTCAGCAACATCAGCGAGGACGGTAACATAGGAGTTTCAGACTCTGTAGAATAGAGCCATTGTAAGACATATTCACCTCTCTAGAAATGTAACCTTATGTTAAACATTGCAGAATAAAATAATATTATTAATAATAATAATAATAATGGGTGAAACAAATTACATTTGTATAGCGCCTTTCACGTCGGAATAAAATTACCAACACGCTACAAAGCACAACACTACATGTTTTATCCTCAAGCAAAGTAGCACTGACCTGCATCTGGGCTGCTCTGACGCTGCTGGCGGCGGAGTGTATCAAACTGTTCCTCCTCGTGTTTTATGATTCTGTACAAGATGATCCAGGGCAGCACTGAAGGCACACTTTGATCTTTGGGATCATCTGGAAGCCCCATGGTACAGTCAATGATCTACATTAGCAAGCAGATACATGGTTAACAGGGTGAAACGCACAGCAGTGACCCATAAACAGTCGTAGATTGGGTGACTGCATTTTTAGAAAATATCTCCATCAGGGAGGTAAAAAAAGGAAAGCAGAAGTGGGTAAACCTAGAGCCTCCTTTTGCCTGGTTTAGTTTGGAGCACTCTCACCTCAGAAGTTTGTGGGTTCAAGCCACATGTTGGAACCCATATAGTCTAAGCTGACACTCCAGCACAGTGATGGGGTGTGCCGCACTGTCAGAGACACACGTCCTTTAGACGAGACGTTAAACCGAGATCCTGTCTGCCTTTCAGATGGACTTTAAAGATCCCACTGCACTATTTGAAAAAAAGAAGGGAGTTTCTCCCGGTGTCCTGACCTACAATCACCCCAAATAAAATTGGTCATTCACTCCTTGGCCATTTGTGGAATACTGTTGTATGCAAATTGGCTGCTGCACTGACTCAAAATACTCAGTCACACGACTTTACAGTGAACCCCGGAAAGGCTTTGAGACATCTCAACGATGTGATAAGACTCAATATCAAATGCGAGTATTATTATTATTATATTACTAAAATATTTTCTGAAAAGTCCCTCATCCTTAAAAGTAGAAAATATTGAAATTTAGCAACTCGAGTGGATTACTACCTGCAAACAGATTGGAATTATATTAAAAAATCTGATATATTCAATATTTTGAGGGACCATTGCGAGTTGTTTCCCCTTTTACCTGGATCAGGTTGTTAGTGAACCGCACGAGAGATGGAGTGATAGCGTGCTCCTTCAAGATACTGTTATACTCAGAGAGGGAATAATCAATCCCCGTCAACAGCTGGGTCACTGTTGAGACCCACTCTTCCTTGGAGGAAGATGACATCACGTTCATTTGCTGAATGGCTTCGTTTAGTGCAACTTCTGAACACTCCAGACACTGCCTGTAATCTCTCAGTTTCATTAGAGAGTCCTTGGAGATAAAAAGGGAAATATAAGCTGGGGGTCCTTGGAGGGAGGGAGTAAGATATATCTGTGTGTATATATATATTTATTTATTTATTTTATACATTGACTATGCAGTTGGGATAACTGTAGGCCCCAGCAGACATGAAGAAAAATTGAAGCATATGCCTGAGGATAAAGTGGCTGAGCAAAGGAAACCACCAATAACAAGTCTATCCAATTACACATTGACCTGCATCAGTCTTTAGAACCCGTATTTAAAACAAGTTATACTAAGAAAAATGTCCACAATTTTCAGACGAGCTTCAAAAAATAGACCCAATAAACTCAACAATCAAGAATGAGGAGGTCACCTTCATGTCACCCAGATGCCACCACACTTCCCTTATATAATTGTGCTAATAGACAATAGACAATCTACAAAATCACAAGATACATCTACAGTGATTGTTTTTATAGCCTAATGTTCCCATGACTGCTGCTTACACCTTTTTTTAATATATAAAATAGTGCAGTTTTTATGGTTAAGCATACAGACCTGTAAGAGGAGGAGCTGAGCAGGCCGCTCAGGGATGGAGGTAACAAATTCCAAGGGTTTTGTTCTCCCAATGGCACCGAGGCTCAGGGTAGGTCTCAGCAGCTTCACAACGTGCTCATATTCTCCCATCTCGTACAGGCGCTGAACTTCCTCCAGCGACTGACAACGCTCCAGGGACTTCAGCTTTTTATCAATCTACAGAGAAAACAGCCAAGCACCATTACAGCAGCAACAACAACAAGAACAAATTACATTTGTGTTGCACCTTTCGCGTCAGGAGAACGTCCCAAGGTGCAGATGCTGAAGCAAGACAGAGAAAAAAGTTTCAAGTCTGAAAGCTGAACTAAATATTATGAAGATCCTATAAAAAACAAATTTTCCACAAAATATTCAGTCAATTCACTTTACAGCATATTCTGTGAAGCGCTTTGAGACGTCTCGAAGACCTAATAAGGCACTATATCAAATGCAAGGATTTTTTTTTGCTCAGGAAGAGCATGAATTTCAACCTTCTCAACAGGTGACCACTGTTAAGGGCTAATAAGCAAAATAAGGCCCTGACGTAAAGTCCAAAAGTTATAAAATACAAGCACTTATAATAATAATACGATCCTTGCATTTGATAACAGCGCCTTATCACGTCTTTGAGACGTCTCAAAGCGCTTCACAGGCTATGCTGTAAAGTGAATCGAGGCGTGTGGAGTAAGAAAACTTGCCCAATGTTTCACCCTGCCCGGGAATTGAACCTGGGTCCTCTCGCTTGCGAGGTGAGTGCTCTAATCACTGAGCAACAGGACTCCAATTGCTTCAAACAGAATGACAGTGTTGGGACCCTGAGAGAAACGTACCTGGAGAGGGATGCTGACACCTGCTGGGAGTTAATGGACATTCCTTACTTTATTAAAAAAGGCTTTTCTCCAAGTTTTACCCCAGTTTTCTCAATTGAAATGGATGGATTGACAAATCAGAATAATAGTGACTTATTCTCATGCAAAAGGCAAGCAGTCTAATAATATTTTTAGTAGGTAATAATTACTTTTACTCTCTATCTCTACCAAAGCCACCTGATAAAGCCACCTTGACTACTTCTTTATTTCCTTTACCTTCCTCTCCTCCCCCCCATCCCTACCCCATCAAACCTGCCACCATCATGTTATGTCCCTGGGAAAAATAGCCGCTCCTTCAATCCAGTTTCCACCCCATCCGCAGCTCCTAGATTGCTTTGGTTAAGGTCACCAACAATATTCTCTGCATCTGCGACCAGGGATCTCTCGTTCTCCTCAACCTCTGCCACGTTCGATACAGTCGACCACTCCCATCGGCTCTCCTCCCTGCTACACGTCCATGATTCTGTTGTTTCCTGGTTTCACTTCTGCCTATCCTAGCAATTTCCCTTTGTCTCTTCCAATGGTTTCTCCTCCTGCCCCACACAGTTACATGAAGTGTTCCCCAACTAACAGCTTCATGTTCCCCAGCCAATTCATCCCACCTGCTGTCTCTCATAGATTCATAGATTCATAGAATGTTACGGCACAGAAGGAGGCCATTCGGCCCATCGAGTCTGTGCGGCTCTTTGACAGAGTGTCACTTTCACTAACCCCAATCACCAGCTTTCTCCCCATAACCCCACAAACCCTTCTTCCCCCGACACCTATCCAGTTCTCTCTTAAAAGCTGTTATCGAATCGGACTTCACTGCCCTTTCAGGCAGATCATTACAAATTCGAACAACTCGCTGAGTGAAAACATTTCTTCTAACCTCCCCTCTGCTTCTTTTGGTAGATATCTTAAGACTGTGACCACGGGTCACAGACACACCTACCAGCGGAAACAGCTTTTCCTTATCTCGCCTGTCGAAACCTTTCATGATTTTGAAGTCCTGTGGAGTCCTGTAGCTCAGTGGTTAGAGCACTCGCTTTGCAAGTGAGAGACCTGAGTTCAATTCCAGGCAGAGGGCGAAGCCTTGGGCAAGTTTCCTTACTCCACACAGAGCCTAATAATAATCCCTCCAAAACCAAAACCAATAATAAATTGGTCATTTTCAATCCACAACTGTTTGTGGGACATTGCTGTGCGCAATTGGCTGCCGCGTTCGCCCACAAATATACAGTCAATTCACTTTACAGTGTGTTCTGTGAAGCGCTTTGGGACGTACTCCCGATGTGAAAAGCGCTATATCGAATGCAAGGATTATTATTATTATTATTGAAGACCTCTATCAGGTCCCCACGTCACCTTCTCTGCTCTAATGGAAAAAGTCCTACTTCTCCAGCCTGTCCTCTCCCGACCATTATGTCACTTGAGACTGGAGCTCCATCCCAAAGTCCCTGTACCTCACCACCTTGGGTCATCCCCACTTTTGAAACCTGCCTGAAGGCCTATGTTTTCGACTGTGCTTTCAATGATCTTACCCCCCCTCAACACACAAACTCCTCAGCTCCCTCCCCAGCCATCTGTGTGAAGTGCTTTTAGACATCGTTCAATATGAAATGCAAGATATAAATGTAAATTCTTGTAGTACCTCCCAGCATTTGGCTCAACAATAATAATAATAATCCTTGCATTTGATGTAGTGCCTTATCACATCTACGAGGCATCTCAAAGAGCTTCACAGAATATACTGTGAAGTGAATTAACTGTATATTTTGTGGGCGAAACAAGGCAGCCAATTGCGCACAGCAGTGTCCCACAAACAGTCGTGGATTGAAGTGACCAAATTATTATTATTTCTTTCTCTTGAGGGATTATTATCAGGGGTGTGGAGTAAGGAAACTTGCCCAAGGTTTTGCCCTGCCAGGAATTGAACCCAGATCTCTCTCTTGCTAGGTGAGTGCTCTAACCACTGAGCTACAGGACAATAACATTGCCTCTGCCATAATGTTAATCTGGTCCTGTGCAGTGGCCAGAAAACAGGTTGAATGCCTGCCCTTCAAGGGCAGCAGGAAACTCAGGGAGATCGAGTAGGAGAAAAATCTATTTGAGCAATATGTGGAACAGTATTATTTTTTTTCAACAAATAAAAACAGAAGTGGTTGGGAACACTCAGCAGGTCAGGCAGCATCTATGGACAGAGGAAAGTAACCAAAGGTCATCGACCTGAAACGTTAACTCACTTTCCTCTCTCCATAGATGCTGCCTGAGCTGCTGAGTGTTCCCAGTGACTTCTGTTTTTATTTCAGATTTCCAGCCTCTGCAGTATCAGCCTTTTGCCTTTTATTTCTAACCTAGGTTTGCACAATGAGAGAAGTAAATATCTGTACCTCATCCACTGATATGGCAGAGTCCACGTACAGGTTTGGCAATCTGACTGTGAAGCCATCACAGCTCCTGCTGCCCGCCCTCACTCCAACAGAGCTGCAAAACAAACTGGTGCAGATATCGTAGCTCTCCACCGCCTGCTCCATGTCACCCTGTCACACAAACAAACCTCAGTAAAACTCACGCAAGTCGTATCGAACGGGACCATAACCTGTAATACGACATTCACAGAGTTGCACGAAACACAACAACAAATTACATTTAGACACTCCCTTTCACGTCGGAAGGACATCCCAAGGCGCTGGCAAACTGTATAAGTCGTAGGAAATCTGATTTAATCAACAATACACTGTGCATGCTTAATTTAATGCAGCTGGTAATTGTGCATGCGATAGATTGTCACTGCAGCCAGTAAAGTGCGCATGCGGTGATGGGTCAAGACTGCATTTTCCACAATTCAATGCAACCAGTAAGTGCGGGAATAATGGCGGATAAGGGAGTGCGTTACGAGTTAGAAGGTGATTAATACGTGCAAAGAAACTTAAGTGGCTTTGATAAGAAACTGAATGGGACTCAGGTGAATGTATGATTTAGGTGATTATACTATTTATAAAGATAAGACTTAAGCAAGTTTTACTGCAGACGGAAATATAAATCTCGGCGAAGGCTGGAGGAATACATGTCAGATAAATTGCAACACAATCTGGTTTAATTTGACCTTTAGCTAATGGGATAAAAGTCAAACAGCTGCAAAAGATTCCAACAACAACAAATGACATTTACACTGCGTCTTTCATGTCGGGCATATGAAAGAGAGGGACTTGTATGGGTGAGGGGATAAGAGGGCGGTGAGATTTAATTGATGCCCTTGCTCTTGCGCCTTTGGTCACCTTCCTCCCCCTCCCCCTGGCTCGGTCCCGGGATCCGTTACTGTGAAGCGCTCTGAGACGCCATCCGGCGTGGAGGGCACTATTTATATCCAAGTTGTTGTTGTTATTGTTGAGAATGCCCTTCTGCATTATAGATTTCTACGTTTCTGTGGGGGATTGTTTGCAGCAACAAGTTCACGTGTGGTCATGTCACAGAGCGCTTGACAGACAGGACGGGTTTAATCTGAAGGACGGCATTTCCAGCAATGCAACGCTCTTCAAGCACTGCAGACTACGTCTAGATCAGAGGTCTCCAACCCAGTCGATCGCCATTAAGTTTCTCTCTTGTTCACGATCAAAAAGACAAGAGGAATAGAGCGACAGAACCGCATTGTTATTGAGTCCAGTCGAAAGCAAAGTTTGTCACTCATCTCAAAACAAAAATATAAACTATTAATGTTTAAACTGCAGTAAATATCACTCTTTTATTGAGTGTGCACAAGACCGCCTCGCGGCAATCGAGCGGTTGGAGACCCTGCTCGACCAGGAGCTCAGCGTCCCAACCAACGGCTCGAGCCCACATCCTTCTGACTCAGAGGCTAGATTGCTACCAGCTAAGCTTTGTTATCAATGCTATCGATAGAGCTGACGTAATTTTTGTTTAAAAAAACATACAATGTTATATAAAAAAAAAATTGGTTACTCAAACCACAACTGTTTGCTGCTGTGTGCCATTGGCTGCCGTGTTTCGTCCACAAATATACGGTCAATTTACTTTATAGTATATTCTGTGAAGCACTTTGAGACGTCTCGAAGACAGGATAAGGCCCTATATCAAATGCAAGGATTGTAACTCAAATGATTAAATGCAACTGAATCTTAATTTTTTTGTGAATTATAACAATCCTTGTATTTGATAAAGCGCCTGATCACGACTTCAAGATGTCTCAAAGCGCTTGATTGTTTTGTGTCAAGATGAAATATGCCGGTGTTGGCATCAAGCACTCCGAGGACAGGCACAGCATCTAGGGCAGCATCCATCATTGTGGCTTCTCTCAGTCAGATTGCCAATGTGTTCTTAATTAGGAAGTCACTAAAATGGTGGATAAGAGAATGTCTGTCGATGTCATTTATATGGACTTTCAGAAGACATTTGGTAAGGTTCTCCACAAAAGATTATTAACAAAAATGGAAGTGCATGGAGTCGGAGGTAACCTTGTGATGTGGGTTGGTAATTGGTTGGGAGGCAGCCCGTGTCCTCTCTGCATTAGTCTGCTCGACCCTATCACCCCCCTCCTCCCCTGGCTTCCTATCACACAGAGAATACAATTCAAGATCTGGTCCTCACCTTCAAAGCCCTCCATGGACTTGCTCCCCCCGACCTCTGTGACCTCCTAACCCCCACCAACCTGCTCGCTCCCTCCGCTCAGCGGGTTCCGGCCTGCTTCACGTCCCCCGCCTTGTTCGTCCCACTATTGGCGGGCGGGCATTCTCCCACTCTGCCACCACCCTCTGGAATTCCATGCCGCAGTCCGTCCATCTCGCTCCCTCGCTTGCCACCTTCAAGAACCACTTCAAGACCCTCCTCTTCGACCATGCTTTTGATCTCCCTGCTTCCCCCCCAGCCCTCCACCCTCCCCGACCCGAGCTCGGATCTGAAACTCTGACTGTCCAGCGCCTTGGGATGTGCTCCCGACGTGAAAGGCGTTATACAAATGTAATTTTGTTGTTGTTGTTGCTAAGCCTATGTACATACCTGCAGTGCCATGAATCGGGCCTTCAGCCAGTACACCCGAACAACAAACACTAGCCAGTCGCTCTCAAACAGGTCCCTCTGAGAGGAGGTGAAGGCCAACTGAATCAGATCACCCAAATAATGGTTTCCGGGAAAATCTGGCCCTAGTTGTGCAGCTGTGGTGCTGGAGGTACATTTTCTGGGAGAAACTGAAAAAGCAAGTATCAAAGTCATATACAGATGTCAGGAACATGGTTTCTATGAACCATCATCACCCGGTGGCCTTATTGTAAGGAACCACTTATAAAAGGCAACATTGATAACAACTTTCAAAAGGGAATCGGATAGGTACTTGAAAAGGAAAAATTTGCAAGGATTTAGGGAAAGAGCAGGGGAGTGCGACTGATTGGGTAGCTCTTCCAAAAAGTCGGCACAGGCACGATGGGCTGAATGACCTTCTGTGCTGTAATGTTATATGATTCTCTTTTCTATCCAACTGAGCAATTCAGTACAACTTATTTTCAAACAAACCAAAGCATTCTCTACTTTGCTGCACATAATTTTTACACGTTTCATAGCTGTTTGGGGGAAGCTGCTGTGCGCAATTGGCTGCCGCATTTCACCCACAAAATACACAGTCAATCCGCTTTACAGAATATCCCGAGAAGTGCTTTGAGACGTCTTGTTGACGTGATAAGGCACTATATCAAATGCAAGGATTATTATGATTCCACATGCCAATGAAATGCCATCAATGTGATAAATAAGCGCTTCATACCTGTGGTACTTTTAGATTTTGTCAGAAGCCACTGATCAAGTTGAAGTTCCATACACAAAAGACACATCAACATCATATCCTGCCAAAATAAGGAACGATAATGCAGCTTGCTACAATGATCCAAATTAAACACTCTGGTAGAACAGAATAATGCGGTCACTCAATCCACGACTGTTTGTGGGACACTGTTGTGCGCAATCAGCAGCTGCGTTTCGGCCACAAAATGCACTGTCACTACACTTTACAGTGTATTGTGTGAATTACTTTGAGATGTCTCAGCGACGTGATAAGGCACTATATCAAAAGCAAGGATTATTATTTGTCTAAATACTGTAATTCTACATTTAGACTCACGTTTCTCTCTTGCAGCGGTCTATTTTGCAAGATGGGGGATAACGTTTTGTGAAGACCACAAAATAATATAATACAACACAATAACATTTACATTGTTATGGCACCTCTCACATCGGGAGGATGTCTCAATGTGCTCAATTTTGCTGCCGGGGAAGGGGCAAAGCAAGCTGGCAAGGGGAATATAACCCAAAACACCATCAAATATGCATGACTTGAGGTGGGCTTTGAACATGGGGAGCAAGTGAGGGAGTGAGGGGTGAGGGAGTGAGTGAGGGAGGAATGGACTCCAGCATGGAATTCCAGAGAGTCAGCCAGAAGATTGACAGGATCATGTCAAAGAGATCCTATTAAACTACAATCCCCAAATATAAGATAAATTGATACTCCGGGATTTCGAATTACAAATGTGAACATATCCCGATAGCAAGCACGGGATGATCACTAGTGTATTGTAAGCTAACACTGAACACTGGATATCTGTCCAACGTCTGACAAGGAACCTCACACTTGGTCAATGACTGATGAGTTTGTGTGCAGACAGGTTTAGATCTGGCTTTGGCCACTATCATTAAACAAATCCACGCTTTTGTCTTGGTGGACAACAGCAGAAGACTAATGAAAAAGGCCACAACTCACTTCATTTTGCAGAGAAAAACACGTTCTACAGAACACAAACGGAGAGAAGCGGATGGCTCTGCACAATTATCCAAGCCATTTAGGTTTAATGACCCAGTACCTTGATGTGCTGGTTACTGCACTCTCTCAGGATGGGGTTTGGAAGGCTGCTGCAGTGTTTCCTCCAGCTATTGTAGATTGTCAGAACGACGTCAGTCAGTCCTGATGGCCATTTCGACAGGAACTTCTGACCGAGTATCTTCAGATATTTCAACATCAGATCCAGTATTCCACCGTTCTTCAGATTGTTACACAGAAATTTATGAACATCTTGTTTTTCTGAATAAAAAAATAAAAGCAATCGGTTACAACAGACACAATAATGATGGTTAGATACACCTCTCTTTAGTACTGATTTTCATTCTTCGATTGACCTCCAAGTGTCCTGTAAAAATGTCATACTTTACATTATTACATGGGCAGTTGAGAGGGGGGAAAATACTAATTGTGCTTTCCAGTTAAGAAATTTACAAATCACCTTCTGATTTCCCTGCCTGAATACAAAGGTCTAGATCCAAAGAGGGCAGTATGGGCAGTCAGGGCCATGTGAAAATACTGAAATAAATCAAACAAATGGTACTGAATTGAATTGTCGCTGCAATTTACTCGTCCGTCAATTTGGGATTGGTAAGGATTTCTTCAAAAAATAATAATTTGATCGCTCAATCCACAACTGTTTGTGGGACGCTGCTGTGCGCAATTGGCTGCCACATTTCACCCACAAAATATACAGTCCATTCACTTTACAGTCTATTCTGTGAAGCGCTTTGAGACATCTCAAAGACGTGATAAGGCACTGTATCAAATCCAAGGATTATTATTATTATTGAAACAACTCACAGGAACTCCCAGGCAGAATAAGTGGGGTTGGGGGGGAAGGGGGGTAAATTCAGAACAAATCTGCGGAAACACTACTCCAGTGAGCGAGTAGTAAACTTATGGAACAGGCTCCCTAGGGAAACAGACGGTGGAAACAGAAAATGTTGTTTGTTTTAAGAACAAATTTGATAGATTTCTGCTGGAAAATAATATCTGGGGATACAGTATATAGTTTGGGACACGACAAGAGACTGCCAGGATGGTGGGAGGGGTCTAGAAGAAGCTTGGTCTTTTTTCACCAACAAATTCTTATGTTCTTATATATGGACTGAGGTAGAAGAGTCACAGAGCAAAGTTACTTAAATGGAACCAGGCAGATGAACAGAAATGGCCTATTCTTATCTTGAGTATTGCTACAATGGGGGAACTCTGAACTGGGGTTTCAAAATGATTTCTCCGAGGGAATTATATATGATTGTCTTTGTCTCCCTAAATAAAAAATAAATAAGCAATGTCTAGGTTCTTACTGTGGGAAATAAGAGTGAAACAGCAAATCAACATCAAGAGGGTTTGGTCTTCCAGATCTCAAACTGCCATTTCTGGGCTTTCCAACTCATTCTGCTACTAAATGAGCTACCTGGCTGAAGTCCCTGGAGCACTGAAGACACATTCATAAATTCCTGACTTGCTCCCTTCACTGGTACACAGAAAGATAATTATTTGGGGAGGACAAGTTTGCAGGGCTATGGGGAGAGAGCGGGGGAGTGGGGTTGATCAGGGCTATGGGAGAGAGAGTGGGGTTGATCAGGGCTATGGGGAGAGAGTGGGGTTGATCAGGGCTATGGGGAGAGAGCGGGGGAGTGGGATTGAATTGGAAGGCTTTTCAAAGAGCCGACACAGACACAATGGGCCGAATGGCCTCCTTCTATGCTGTATAATTCTATGATTCTTTGATAACCATTTTCTGCTGGAGCTCCATATCTCCAGCTGATTAGAATCGCTGCTTAATGGGTAGCCGTGTACGGGCAGTGGGTGGTGCAATGCTGAGTTGTTCTGCTCATCCCCCTGGTGAGGGTTCAAACATGCCCTTGTCAGAGGTATAATGTTAGATCACCTCGTGATGATCTTTCTTGTGGAAGCTGGGGAAAGGCAAATGGGATCTCCTGTGTGGACGTTGTGTGGTTGAATGTCTGGACTGGGGGGTCCAGGCACTGCTGATGATGGCAGCAGCTGGAAGAACAAGCTAGTCACTGGGAGTTGCTATTCTTCCCATTCGGCTCCCGAACCCACCCAGCCACCCCTCACCCCCGAACTATTGCCATTAAACTCAGAAGATATATAAGTAAGCACAACTCCAGACTGAACGAATACACAGAGCAGTTTTCTTGCTCAGAATATATGAACTGCCAATGACCCATGCTGACACCTTTATTCACTACATAGGAGGGAAAAAGACATTGCGTTCCAATAAAGGAAAATTCAGCCCGAGGCCTTGTTGTTTGCCTTGTTGTTTCCCAAATTGATTCAGGCATCTGGTTTGTGGAGGATGTAGGTCAAAGAACAGAAGGTTTTCCACCCAGTCTTAGGCATACAATGCTCCTACGTACATGATATAGGACACTCCATGAGAGACAATTTAAAAATAATTTTATTTACAATGTTTTGAGTAGCTGGGTAGCCATATATAGTAACTGCTGCTTTCCAGACCATGAGATCAAGATCCAAGGAGAGCAGATACCAACGTCATCAAAGTGCAATACACCACTATACACCACAAAAACAAACAAAAATCCGGGACTGATCTTGAAACAATCCTGCTCTGATGACCTACCCAAGTCTATGAAAGCTGTGGAATCAAATTGCATTCGATAAGGACCCATCAGCTGATGACTTTCCTTTTTCAACTCTGTCTGAACATCATAGTTGCCAAATGGTTCATCATCTTCTTCTAGATCCGCCTTTTTCAGCCTAGTGAGAACGGGAGTTCAAGAGGTCACATCGACTGTAATAGCTACATAATAATAATAATAATAATAATCCTTGCATTTGATATCGCGTCTTATTACATCTTCGAGACGTCTCAAAGCGCTTCACAGAATACACTGTAAAGTGAATTGACTGTATATTTTGTGGGTGAAACGCAGCAGCCAATTGCGCACAGCAGCGTCCCACAGATTGGATAACCAAATTATTCTTATTTTGAAGGGATTATTACTCCGGGAAAAGTGATTCGCCAATCAACTAACAAGCAGGTTCCTATTTACTGCTCGGTAACTTACTGCTACTGCTAGGTTGCCCTGACCTGTCCCGACGGGAATCGAACCCGGGTCCTCTTGCTTGTGAGGCGAATTACTGTGAATATGGTTATATAAATAAGGTGTCTCAGAAATCAGTTTCATGCCATATTTTCTTCAAAACAAGAAGCTTTTGTAGCTACACCATTTTAAATGTACATGATCATTTTCCTTCACAAGATGTACACTGTTTGAGGACTGTGCAACTTGAACAAAGGAGGCAATTTCTTAAGACATTGGATGTCTTGGATTATTTTGTACTCTGCCTACATCTATTTTTTTTCAATAGCTAACTTTGAAGCTCCTAAATGATTCCAGCACAATCTCAAAATATCCCCAGTACTGTGGTTGGAAAGCAAACCAGTTCTCCATTGAGCAAAACAGCAACAGCCAATACCCAAATAGCCAGGCTGACCCTGGCACTGAGTAACAAGCTAACGTGAAAATTACCAACATTTGAAAAAAACAGTAAATTTCACAACTTGACCCCTTTGATATGCACAATGGAGGTGAAGGAAGGCAAAACAATATACATTTATATAGCAATGTTTCTGTCAGCAGCATATCTCAAATCACTTCACATAGCAGGCTGGGCAAACCAAGCAAGAGAGCTGAAGGGAACAGGGGAAAGGTGATCTAAAACAGGATGATAATAATAATAATCCTTGCATTTAGAATAACATATTTCACGTTGAGAGGACATCCTCTGGAAGTAAAAGGCACTACACAAATGTAAGTTGTTTGTTGTTGAGAGGACATCGCAAGGATTTACTGTGAAGCAGAGTGACTGTGTATTTGTAGGCGATCCCAGCAGCCCAATTGCACACAGCAGTGTCTCACAAACAGACATGAAACAAATTACCAATTTTATTCTGGGGGATTGTTGGTCAGGACACTGGGAGAGAGGAACTCCCTTCCCTTTTTGAAAAGTACCAAAGAGACAAGTCTTAAGGCAGGTTTTAAAGATGGAGAGACACAGAGGGAGTCTGGGATGCAGGTCCAGAGAGCGGGAGCAGAAAACCTGAAAACTTGCTGACCGATGGATCGGGCAGGGGAGATGAAGCAGGTCAGCGATCACTGAGTGGAGGAAGCAGCAAAGCAAGGTTGGTAGGTTGCTGAGGTAGGGTGGGGTGAGGCCACAGGGAATTTAAATGCGAGGATGAGGATCTTGTATTCAATCCTCTGGGAGATGAGGGAGAAAGTATTGGGGGCAGGTAACAATGCAAAGGTGTGGGAAAGCTGAGCAAGTGAGAGCACAGAATACACGGCTTGGAAGATGTGGGCCAAACTAGACACTTGGGTTCCGCAAAGACTCAAATAAGGTGGAGTGAGCATCTGTGCAGGTTGATACAGTCTGTGTTTGATAAGAAGGCGCTGACAGGAGTCAAACAGCTGATCCTTGATCTTGTGGACATTCAACTGAAGGAAGTTAGAGCTCATGCAGGACTTGGCAATAACTGCGAGGGCAGGATAAAAAAGCAACTTCTGAAGAAAATATCTAAATGATTCTCCTGCTCCCTGGTTCATGTTAAATTATCACTTTTTTTTATTTTACGGAGTTGTTAGAATGTGAAACACCTTCTGAGGAGCAGTGGTCGAGGCAGACATCAGATCACCTTCCAAGAGAAAACTTGATAGATATCTAAATAGGAGGAACTTGGTAATGGGGAAAAGGCAGGTAAATGGGACAGAATTAATAGCTCTTTAGAAGAACCATCGCAGACACGATGGGCTGTAAAGTTCTAAGGTTCCATTATCAATGTGTCGTTCTGGCTCAAATTGATTACATTCTTGTCTCCAAGTCAGAAGGCTGTGGGTTCAAATACAGTCATTTAACTTTACAGTGAATCCTGTGAAATGCTTTGAGACATCTCCTGATGTGAAAGGGCTATACAAATCTAAGGAATATTTTTATTATCGATTTCAAGATCCTCTCGATCGCTTTCAAATCCTTTCGTGCCCTCGACCTCCCTACCTATCCGATCTGCTTACTCCCCACTCCACCGCCTCCGCTCGGGTTCCTGTTTGTCCTTCGTCCCCTCCGCTCCACCATCCGTGGCCATGCCTTCAGCCATTACGTCCCTAAATTCTGGAAGTCTCTCCCTCAATCCTTCCCCTCCCTCACCACTTTCAAATCCAGCCTAAAGACCTTCCTTTTTGATCGTGCTTACGGTCACCTCCCCACTCCCTCTCCCCCTGGCTCGGTGGGCGGGGACGCTACCACGCGTGAAGGGCGCTATATAAATGCAAGTTGTTGTTCTTGTACCTCTATCTCCACTGGGACATGCTTACACATTTTGTATCTACATAGAATCATAGAATTACACAGCACAAAAAGAGGCCATTCGGCCCATCGTGTCTGTGTCGGCTCTTTGAAAAGAGCTTCCAAATCAACCCCACTCCCCCGTTCTCTCCCCATAGCCCCGATCAACCCCACTCCCCCGCTCTCTCCCCATAGCCCTGATCAACCCCACTCCCCCGTTCTCTCCCCATAGCCCTGATCAACCCCACTCCTCCGCTCTCTCCCCATAGCCCTGATCAACCCCACTCCCCCACTCTCTCCCCATAGCCCTGATCAACCCCACTCCCCCACTCTCTCCCCATAGCCCTGATCAACTCCACTCCCCGCTCTCTCTCCATAGCCCTGATCAACCCCCTTCCCCCTGCTCTCTCCACATAGCCCTGATCAACCCCACTCCCCCACTGTCTCCCCATAGTGCTGATCAACCCCACTCCCCCACTCTCCCCCATATCCCTGCAAACTTGTCCTTCCCGAATGAAAAGCTTTTTTTTTTTTAATTTGAACAAAAGATTTATTGTACCTTGAAGGTAAAAATTTGACTAAAAGTTCTTGAAAATCGATCTTTTCTTCTTTTTTACACTTGGTGTTCCTGACTCGAGCTGAACGTCGCTTTGCTGGCTCTCCTGCTTCATCAGCTATTCGCTTCCTCTTGGCACCTTTCTTAGTCTTGTCTACAATCGAAGCGTCTGCTTTAATCAGAACATTTCTTTGTTATTAAGAAATCAGATGAGGAGATGCAAAGAACGGTGACAGTACTATTTATATAGTTACATATCTGAAAACAAGCCTTCGCTGTACATCTGATATAGCATCTAACCTAAGAGTAAGCCTCAACATCAACTTACATTTGAAATACATTTGTTTGGAAAGCGAGTTGATCAGGAAAAAAAATCAACTTGAGAAGAAATATATAATCACAATATCAGACAAATGCAGCTCAGAGGCAACTGAAGTTTTCTGCCCTTCGCTCCTTGTACAAGGGTTTTCTTCCCATAGCGACACTGATATCAAGAGGATCACCAGATGCAACTCCATATCTCACCAATCCAATACATTGCGTCACTGAGCAGTATCCATCTAAACTTTTCAATACAAAGACAGAGTTGAAAATATAAGCCTTCATTATGAGCTCAGGAAACGTACTGAATAGACAGTCGTTGTGTGAGTGATTTCCTGTATCCCACCCCCATTTCATTACAGACTTAGGTGTACGTGAACTAACCTTGAGATGCTACCAAATCTGCTGCACTGGGAGGATTTGCTGATACAAGCACAGTTGATGCTGATGCTGCTATTGGCGTTGTGGTCACTGCTGCTGTAGGACTGGAGGTGGTGGGGTTCGGCTGGATAACACTGACCGGAGTGGCTGTTGGTGAAGATATCAGCTGTTGGGAAAGATCTCTATACATGGATAGATCTATCCTCTTGCCGAGGCTGGGGCGAGGAAGCTCACAGGTTAAGTCTCTGTACGTGGCCAGTAAGCTCTCACCCAAACATCTCCACCTACAAAAAAAACGGTAAGTGACAAATACTGAGAACTGTAGAGTAACACACAGCTTGGTTTGATATAATAATAATCCTTGCATTTGATACAGCGCTTTTCACGTCTTCTAGAAGTCTCAAAGCGCTTCACAGAATATTCTGTAAAGTGAATTGACCGTATATTTGTGGGCGAAACGCGGCAGCCAATTGCGCACAGCAGCGTCCCACAAACAGTCGTGGATTGAAAAATGACTAATTTATTATTGTTTTGTTTTAGAGGGATTATTATTAGGCTCTGTGTGGAATAAGGAAACTTGCCCAAGGTTTCGCCCTCTGCCTGGAATTGAACTCAGGTGTCTCGCTTGCAAGGCGAGTGCTCTGACCACTTAGCCACAGGACTCCAGGATCCAGCAGGATCCAGAATGAATACCCAGCAGAACAGAACTCAACGTCACAGCTTTCCAGGGTAGGATTTCCCTCTTACTTTGGCTGGACGGTCTTTTCCAGCTGGGACATTCCTAAATTGTAACAGTTTAATGTTCAGACAAATATAACTAGATGTTAATATGAGGAGCATCATGGAGTGCATCAAACTTTGAGGTCAGTAAAAAGCAACATCTGGATTAGGCTTCATTTTCTCGTGGGTTTGGGTTAAACATGGGAACCTGCTTAGTTCTCTGAATATAAAGAAAAATCTAAATGAAATATTGTGGAACTCCATCACAATGCCTTCATTATAACTCAGGTTCGCTTATTGGAGTGTGGACCCAACATTTAGTTAACAAAAAAATGTAAACATGCAAGCTAAAACTTGGCCAACTTCGATGTCACAGATCTTAATTACTGTGTGATAACAGGGCTCTACAGCATTAACAACCCCTTCCCTCAGAGTATACCCATCAACATTAGCCATGTGGTAACTACGTTTAGTTCTGCAGAATAGATTCCAAATAAAATCAGCCTGTAACCTCATAACCATTTGAGGCAGGAGTAGTTCACCCAGTCTGTCATCCCATCTCCCACAAAATTCCTTTGATGTATCTATCTCTAAATCTATTAAGCCTCAATCATCTCGTTCAAAAAGAATTTGTTTCATTCCTTTTGAAAACTCTATGCAGTTTTATGTTACTTTCCTCTTTGACTGTGCCTTCGGCCACCCTCCTACCCCTACCCTCCCTGCCCTCCACGCCTCCTGCTCCCAACCCCCAGCTCGGGTCCAAATCCCTGACTGTCCAGCACCTTGGGACGTCCTCCAGACGTGAAGGGCGCTGTATAAATGTAATTTGCTGCTGTGGTTGTTCCACCATTAACAGTTTATGACTCAAATAATTTTTTTTAATCCTTATTTTAAGTTAGGCTCCTATTACATTGGGAAAAGAGCGGGGGAGTGGGACTGATTGTGTAGCTCTTCCAAAGAGCTGGCACAGGCACAATAGACCAAATGGCCTCCTTCTGTGCTGTAATATTCTATGTTTCTATGATACATACGTGAAGGAAGAGACTGGCTGGATCAACCGGAGGTCTGGCTCCTCCGCTGGTAACGCTAACGCCTGCTTCTTTCTGCGTAGCTCCAAAGCTTCCTCAACAACAGCCTGAGCTTCCACAGGATCCACGTCTAACGCATGAATGGACATGTCACTGAACAAACACAGAGAATAAAATGGATCAATTTAAAATTAGAAATTGATACCCGAACTGTAGTCATCGGGTTTTCAAAATGTATCGAGTTTAAAATGTATCCGAAGACTGTTTTATAATAAATAAATAATCCCTGCATTTGATATAGCGCTTTTCGCGTCTTCTAGCGGTCTCAAAGCACTTCACAGGACATACTGTACAGTGAATTGACTGTACATTTTGTGGGTGAAAAACAGCAGCCAATTGCACACAGCAGCGTCCCACAAGCAGTCGTGGATTGAGTGACCAAATTAATATTGTTTTTTTCTTGAGGGATTATTATCAGGCTTGTGGAGTAATGAAACTTGCCCAAGGTTTCGCCCTGCCGGGATTCGAACCCTGGTCTCTTGCTTGCGAGGTGAGTGCTCTAACTACTGAGCTACAGGACTCTACAAGCTCAGTTTAGATTTCATATCATCACACATTTGTGGTCTGCACATAACTCTTTGGTTTCAATTCCTCTATCTTGTAAATACAAACAACACATTTACAGGACTGTCGTTTTGTTATAAATAATAATAATAATCCTTGGATATAGCGCCTTATCACGTCGTTGAGACATCTCAAAACGCTTCACAGAATATGGTGTAAAGTGCAGTGACTGTGTATTTTGTGGGCAAAAAAATATTCAACCCTCAGTCTGACTCATCCAAACTCTGATCAAGTCCAAGTTCCACCATCTCCACAAAAACACTTTTCTCCATCCCAACTCCAAGATTCAATACAGAATGAAATCCTCATCCACATCTTTACCAGCTCTAGACTTTATCTCTCCAATACCTGCCTTCCCAGCTCTATCCTCCACAAGCTCAAGATCATCCAGACCTCCACAGCCCACATTCTCTTCCACCCCAGGCTCCACAAGCCCATCATCCTCACCAGAGGTTACCCTGACTGTGAGTTCCCTCGCTAAGTGTCTGAGATCCAACATGAAGAGTAGTCGGGTATAGTATTGCCTTCCATCTCCATTGCCCCAACATCTCTTGTGGTCCTAAACCCCAATCCAGTCTCCATCAATTTCCAATAATTTCCTCCAACTCCCTTCCCTCTGTGCTTTCAAAACCTGTCTAAATACCTCTCTCTCTCACTGCAGCTTATGGACACCTCATTCTTCTCTCTTTCCCCCCCACCCATCCCACTCATCTCCCTGCTCAGGCCCCAAGTCAGTCTCTGTAAAACACTTTGAAACCTTTTCCTACACAAAAGGCACTGTATAAGTGCAAGTATTTAGTGGATTTTAGTTCAATTGGAAAAAGCTTGTGAAGGCTTATACAACAACAACAACTTGCAGTTACACAGCGCCTTTCATATTGGGAGGATGGCCCAAGGCCCTGGGCAGTCGAGGGTTTGCACCCGAGCTGGGAGTTGGATTCAAGGATGGTGGTGGGAAGATGACCAAAGGCACAGTAAAAGAGGAAGGTCTTGAGACGGATCTTGAATTAGGCAAGGGAAGCAGCGAAGAGACTCTGCGGTAGAATTCCAGAGGCGGCAGCAGAGAGGCTGAAGGCTCGACTGCTGATGGTGGGCAGATAGGGTGGGCAGTGCCTGCAGAGCGGAGGGAGCAGGCAGGTTGATAAGATTTAGATGGTCACAGAGATAGATTTTAGATGGTCACAGAGATAGGGTGACCAAATTACTAATTGCATTTATATAGCGCCCCCTGGCTTGGGTGCAAACCCTCAACTCTCCAGCGCTTTGGGACATCGTCCCTAATGCAAAAGGCGCTATACAAGTGCGATTTGTTGTTGTTATTGTACAAGCTGACACAAGCTTTTATTCAATTAAACTAAAATCCAACAACAAAAGTGAGAACAAGTATCTTGAACTCAATCTTCTGAGGGATGGGGAGCCAATGAAGCCGGGTGAGGATGGGGGTGCAGGACAGGACATGAGCTGCAGATTTCTGAATACTTTTATGGAAGGAAGAGATCTTCCATAAGGACTGGAAGCGCAGCCGATGACTATAGTAAATATATTCAATATAGAAGCTTATAGTCCTGAAAGACTCGTGGTGAGTCTAACATGGCGAGTCCAATAAAGATGCAGTTCTGGTTCATAGGAGACAAGAATCTGTATACATGAATTGCATAACCATTTTAAAATCAGGACAATTCTGAGCAATCGTTTGAACTATAGTAGACATTTATGAATGTGAAGCCCACCATTTCAAGAACATACGGAAGGAATCCTTCCTCAAACAGGGCTGTTCCTCAAAGATCTTTTCTTTCAACACCAACCCCTTGCTGTAGCGGCAATCCTTTTCCAAGGCTTTACAAATATAATAAAGGCAATCTGAAACAGAGGGACGAAAGATATCAAACAATTTGTTTTCAGGCTACATTGGTGTGTGTTTTAAAATGTGATGTTTGAATAGACTGCTTACACGGTTGCCAACGTCCAAAATTAAAATTGATAAAAAGATAAAATTGATCATTTACTTCTGGTTGTTTGTGGGACATTGTTGTGTGCAAATTGGCTGCTGCGTTTACCTACAAAATACATTCACTACACTTTACAGTGAAATATTTCCCGGTCTCCCAACATAAACACAAGGATTACAATTATATATCACAATTGGTTTGTATGAATGCTGCTTGGCCCATCTGATCCCATCCCAACCTACTACTCTCCCCATCACACCAACTCATTTTAAAATGAGTCCAGCATCCTGACCTTCCTGGCAAATTGTTCCAGCATTGATTACCCTCTGGGTAAAGAAAAACTTCCTGGTGTCTGTCCTGAAATTGCCTACTTACATTGCATTTTGTTTTGTTTTACTTGTCTTGCAGAATCCTAAAGTATTGATCTGGGTTTACTTTTTAATCCCATTTGAAATGTTATACATCTCTATGAGGTCCCCTCTGAATTGTCTTCTCTCAAGACTGAAGAGCCCGAGCTTGTCTCATCGTTGCTCATAGCAAGTTGTATCCCATCAATGGAGTCTTTGCGTTTCCTATTCTTGCCTGCTTTATATAGTACCTTGCATTCATTTGCCAGTTATCAGCTCATGTGCATAACCCTAACAAGCTCTCTTTATAGGACCTTTGCTGCCTCCTCTTTGATTCCACAGTTCACCCAAACTGGGTGTCAACTGCAAATCTAACTATTTTACACTGGGTCTGTGAATCTGGGAACTTGAAAAGAAAAAAATTGCAAGGATATGGGGAAAGAACAGGGGAGTGCGACTGCCTGGTAGCTCTTCCAAAGTGCCGGCACAGGCATGATGGGCCGAATGGTCTTCTGTGTTGTAATATTCTATGATTCTATTTTCCACCCAACTGAGCAATTCAGTACAACTTATTTTTAAACAAACCAAAGCATTCCCTACTTTGCTGAAGATCATTTATTTTATTTGTATTTTTTGCGGGACACTGCTGTGCGCAATTGTGCTGCCACATTTCAACCATAAAATACGTCAGTATATCAAATGCAAGGATTATTCTGATTGCACATGCCAATGAAATGCCATCAATGCGAAGAATAAGCACTTCATACTTGTGGTACTTTTAGACTTTGTAATATTCCCTGGTCCATGTTATGCCTGACCAGTTATAATAATAATAAAAATGTCTATTGGAAAACAAAGCATTTCAACTTACTAGTGTAATCACTTAGTGTGTACAGTACGGTGATGAGATTGTCCAGGCACGGCCAGTGATCGGGATTACATTTCAGTCCTTCTTCAAAAGCATGCCGAGCCAGTGGAACACGAATCAGCCTCAATGCCACTCTTCCGATTTTATACCAGAGGTTCACATCTGTAGAGTCCAGCATTACAGCCTACAATACAAAATTATTTTAAACAAGGGCAAGCAAATACACACAGGAAATCTGAAATAAAAAAAGAAGTCGCTGGGAACACTCGGCAGGTCATCAAAGTTAATTCACGTTAACTTTCCTCTCTCCATAGATGCTGCCTAACCTGATGAGTGTTCTCAGCGACTTCTGTTTGCTTTTAGCTCATTCATTTAGTTCTGATAAAAGGTCATCGACCTGAAATATTCACTAACTTACCTCTCTCCCTAGATGCTGCCTGACCTACTGAGAGTTAATATTAAAAATATATTATTCCTCACCTCCAGATAAAATTCCATAGCAGTACTAGGTTCATCTTTCTGAGCAGCCAAACTGGCAAGATTCTTGTAAGTAGAGTACTTCAGCATCAACCCAGGATGCTTCAAACCTTCATTCTCATCACCAGATAGAACAGCCTGTGTTAGAAAGAAGAACATTACACTAGCAAATTAACCACTGCTACACGAATACGTTGGTATCAATCTCAGGTTAATTTTATTGTTCTAAATACCCGATTACACCTGCTTATCCTAATTCGCAAGAAACATCCACAATCATCCAAGAATAATAGATTTGCTCCTTTTCCTTCACTTGTATTTATCGTTTCAAATTGTTTCAACAACCACAACTTGCATTTATATAGCACCCCTCACACAGGGTAGCGTACCAGAGCACTTGACAGTGGTAGAGCACACTGCAAGCATGTTCTCGACGTGCAGGAATTGTCGCTGGTGTTACTTCCTGTATGTGCTGCGAGTATGTGCTACACGCAGGAAGCTCCATTAATGTCTTTTCATGCGTGCTGCATAGGAAGTGCTGCTGACATCATTTCACGGAGCACGCCACTGTCGCTTCTTAAGTGTAGCTTGTAACACGCAGGAAGTGACGTCAGTGACTTCAAAATAAAATAATAATTTGGTCACTTTTCGTTGGACACTGCTATGCGCAATTGGCTGCCACGTTCATCCACAAAATATACAGTCAATTCTCTTTACAGTATATTCTGTGAAGCGCTTCGAGACGTCTCAACAATGTGATAAGGCGTTATATCAAATGCAAGGATTATTATTCGAATTCAAGATCCTCATCCTCACCTACAAGGCCATTCACGGCCTCGCTCCCTCCTACCTCTCCGACCTACTATCCCCCTACTTACCTGCCCGTACCCTCCGTTCCTCTGGCTCCGGTCTGCTCCACATTCCCCGCCCCAACCGCTCTACCATCGGTGGTCGGGCCTTCAGCCTCTCAGCCCCGAGGCTCTGGAACTCCATCCCCCAGTGCCTTCGCCGCTTCCTCCCTTTCCTCCTTCAAGGCCGGTCTCAAGACCTTTCTCTTTGACCGTACCTTCAGCTCCCCTCTCGACTCTCTACCCCCTCCTCACTCCCTCCCCTCACCCTGACCATTTCCCCCCTGCTCGGGTCCTGACCCAACTGTCCAGCGCCTTGGGACGTCCTCCCGACCTGAAAGGCGCTCTATAAATGGAATCTTATTGTTGTTGTTATTATTTTTGATGGCAATGGAGGTTGTTACATTTTTTGTGATTTTATCACTGGTTTTAAGATAACTGGGCTCAGATCACCACTTTATAATGGATGCCCTGCAGCTTACATCCAGCACCATGCAGTCACAGTAGCACTTGCACCTTGAAAATAAGTGTGTAAAATTCATGGTCAACCAAAACAAAGCTGCATGGAATTTATTCTTGGTTCTTCTTTGTGCTTTTAAATATCATGTAACACTTCTTAGCCATTGTCAAGAGTTTGGTCACTCAATCCACACTGCTGTGCGCAACTGGCTGTCACGTTTCACCCACAAAATATAGTCAATTCACTTTACAGTATATTCTGTAAAGAACTTTGAGACGTCTCAAAGACATAATAAGGTGCTGTATCAAATAGAAGGATTATTATTATTTTATTATCGTGTAATTCTCACCTCTTTCAACAGCTGTGTGTTCAGCAGCTCATGATAAGCCTTCTCAGACTCGTCATATCGGTCGTGTTTCTGCAGGTCTAATGCCTTGTGATACAGAGAAAAGGCTTCAGCTTCCTGATTAAAGAGAGATGTAGGTCAGCCTGGAAAACTAACACCAAGGGATTCACAGATTCCCTGTGACATCCCTTCAGCTGGTAATCAAAAGAAAGTCATATTGTTTCGGACTTAATAACTGTCTTAATCGGAAACATTCACAATACAAGGGTGACCAAAAAGTCTTGATAACTACCCTATTATCTATAAAAATATATCATCATTTCTTTAAGACATATTAGATATTGTAATGGTATCACCCTGCATTTCTCTATTCTCTTTCTGATCGAGGGTGTTGCTCCTCTGAACCATCCTCCAAAGCTTTATAAATGACTAGCTGTACCCGTTGCAGCTACGTTTGCAACCAAAGGATTGAATATGGCTTTATATTCTATATCCCTATTTATAAAACCTAGGATGTCATATGCTTTCTTCATCAGCTTTATCCATCTGACTTGACACCTCTAAGGATTTTTGTACATGAACCCCATTTGTCTCGATTAAATTTCATTTGCCATTTCTCTGCCCAATCAACTAATCTGTCTAATGTTCCCCTGATGTGGTTCATTGTTTGTTTGTGTCATCAGGACGTCTTAGACCTGGACTGGTACTCTCATCTGTTGATGAGTAAACACTAATTTCGCTTTCTTCCCTTAATCAATAAATCTGTTTTAACATCCTGACGGTTGTTCTGTATTCATATCAGGTACAAACCTGAGCCTCTTTAGTTTGAGTTTTGTGACTCTTGAAGGACCCCTCATGATCTTCAACCACTGTCGTGGCATTTAAAGCTGCAATGCGGATCTAGAGACCATCAAACAAAAGCGTCAATAAAGTGTTAATGCACAGCTTACTGGGCCTCAGGTGCTGCAACGCACTTTGGTCTTGGCCCCTTACCTGGGATATTAAGTGGGAAAAAGAGCATTTCCCATAAACAGATACACATCGATCATTGCTCCTCCAGTTTGAACTAATCATCAATAATTTCAGACTCGACAATAAACATAAATAATCCCTCCAAAACAAAATAATAATAAATTGTTCATTTTCAATCCACGACTGTTTGTGGGACGCTGCTGTGTGCAATTGGCTGCCGCGTTCGCCCACAAATATACAGTCAATTCACTTTACAGCATATTCTGTGAAGCGCTTTGAGACATCTCGAAGATGTGAAGAGCGCTATATCAAATGAAAGTTATTATTATATTATTATAAAAGATTAAAATATAAATGGGGCTGTCCAAGAGCAAGTTAGAAAAACAAAATCTTAGTTTCACTAAACGTATTAACTAACCAAACTTCTTACCCAACTCACCACCAGAGTAATAGCTTATAACCTGGCCAATAGCAAAGTGCTCCCACACCTCTCCCGCGGAATCCCCTGCGTGAGTGTCTCTGTATCTCCCTCTCTGTGTATTTCTGGGTCTGCCTGTGTGTGTGTATATGTGTCCCTCTATGTGTCTCTACCCCCACTCCGCTACACAAACACACACTCCTCTAACCCACATCCCCACCCTCACCACCCTCCTCCGCTACACCTTCCCTCCGCTGCACTCACAACCCTCACTCCGCTGCACCTCCCCCATCCGCTGCACACACCACCACCCCCCTCAACTGCACATACACCACCCCCCCTCCAAGGCACACCACACCCCCCACTGCGCTACACCCACATCCCCCACTCCGCTACACCCACACCCCCCACTCCGCTACACCCACACCACCCCCCGCTACACCCACAACCCCCACCTCCGCTACACCCACACACACCCCCTTCCACTGCACCTGCCCGCCCCATCCGCTGCACACACACACCCACCTCCACCATACCCACACCGCCCCCGTCACTACACACACACACCCCTCCGCTACACACCCCACTCCGCTAAACCCACATCCCCCCCCCCACCCCGCTGCACCCCCCCACTACATCCCCCCACTACACCCACACCCCCCCACTCCGTGGAGTCCTGTAGCTCAGTGGTTAGAGCACTCGCTTTGCAAGTGAGAGACCTGAGTTCAATTCCAGGCAGAGGGCGAAACCTTGGGCAAGTTTCCTTACTCCACACAGAGCCTAATAATAATCCCTCCAAAACCAAAACAATAATAAATTGGTCATATTCAATCTACGACTGTTTGTGGGACATTGCTGTGTGCAATTGACTGCCGCGTTCGTCCACAAACATACAGTCAATTCACTTTACAGTGTGTTCTGTGAAGCGCTTTGGGACGTCCTCCCGACGTGAAAAGCGCTATATCAAATACAAGTATTATTATTATTATTATTGCATGTACACCACCACCCCTCCGCTACACCCACCCACCCCTTTCCGCTACACCCACACAAACCCCCCCCATCTGCTGCACCCCCATCCTCCGTCCGCCACACACCACCTACCCCCTTCCACTGCACCCACACACTCCCACCCCCTGCTGCACTCGCACCCCCCGCTGCAGACGGACCCCCCCTCTCCCTCCGCGTCAAATGCACCCCCCCTCCACTACACACATAGTCCCCACACATTTATACGGTGCCCTTCACATGAGGTAGGGTCTTGCAGCACTTAACAGTGGCAACAACAACAAAATTACATTTGTAAAGCGCCTTTCGTCAGGAGGACGTCTGAAGGCACTGAACAGTCAGGGATCAGGTCCCGAGCGTGGGGTGGGCAGGGTTGGGATGAAGGAGGGCAGAGGAGGTAAGAGGACGGAGTCAAGGAGGGTCTTGAGAGGTGCATTGGAGGAGGCAAGAGAGGGAGCGAGGCAAAGGGATTGTGGGATGGAGTTCCAAAGAATGGAGGCAGAGAGGCTGAAAGCCCGGCTGCCAATGATAGGGTGGGTCGGGCGGGAGACCTGGAGCAGGTCAGAGCCCGCTGAGCGGAGGGAGCGGGCAGGTTGATAGGATGTCAGCAGGTCAGAGATGTAGGAGGGGACAAGGCCATGGAGGGCCTTGAAAGTGAGGATGAGGATTTTGAATTCTATCCTCTGGGGGATGGGAAGCCAGTGGAGCCAGGGGAGGGAGGGGGCGATGGGGTCACGGAGCCTGGTGCAGGAGAGGACATGGGCTGCAGAGTTCTGGATGATCTGCAGCCTGTGGAGGGAAAAGTTTGGGAGGTCGACAAGGAGGGACTTTCCGTAGTTGAGTCTTGAGGCAGAGCTTGACCCGAGCGAGGAAGAGAAGTCACTTGGACAAGTATTGATCAATCAGCATTGATTTGTGAAGGGTAGGTCATATATGACGAATCTAATTGACTTTAAAAGCAGATTGCTTTTCCGGGGATAATAATCCCCCCAAAAAAAATTTGGCTACGCAATGCACGACTGTTTGTGGGACACTGCTGTGCACAATTGGCTGCTGTACTACACCCACAAATGTACAGTATATTCTGTGAAGCGCTTTGAGACGTCTAGAAGACGTGAAAAGCATTATATCAAATGCAAGGATAGTTATTATTAATTTTTTGAGGTGGTCACTAACATGGTAGATAACAGCTTGTCTATGGATGTCGTCTACATGGACTTTCAGAAGCCATGTGATAAGGTTCTGCACCAAGAGGTTATTAACAAAAATGAAAGTGTATGGAATCGGCGGTTACCTTGCGACGTGGCTTTGTGATTGGCTTGGAGGCTGGAAACAAAAAATAGGGATAAAGGGAACTTTCTCTGTCTGGCGGGATATGACAAGTGGTGCTCCCCAGGGGTTTGTACAGGGGACTCAGCATTTCACTATATATATATATACACACATATATATGTATACATACATATATATGAAATGACTTGGATGAAGGTTAGAGTTTTATATCAAAATCTGCAGGTGACACAAAGTTAGGAGGCACAGTAAATTGTGTAGATGGGAGCAGAAAGTTACAAAGGGATTTAGACAGACTAAGTCAGTGGGCAAAACTGTGGCAGATGGAATTCAATGTGGGGAAGTGTGAAGTCATCCACTATAGTTCCAAAAATAGCAAAACAGAATATTTTCTAAATGGTGAGAAACTGTGGAGGAGTAGAGGTTTGAGTGTCCATGTACACAAATCACTAAAATCAAGCTCACAGGTACAAAAAGTTATCAAAAAGGTTAATGGGATGTTGGCCTTTCTCTCAAGGAGGCTGGAATATAAAGGAGTGGAAATGATGCTTCAATCGTAGGGAGCCTCGGTCAGACTCCATCTGGAGTGCATTCAGTTTTGGGCATCGTACCTCAGGGAAGATATATTGGTTCTGGAGGGGGTGCAGCGCAGATTCACCACATTGATACCAGGGCTTAAAGGGTTGAATTATGAGGACATGTTGCACAAATTTGGTCTCTATTCCCCTGAGTTTAGAAGGTTGAGTGGTGATCTGATTGAGATTTTTAAAATAATAAAGGGATTCGATAGCATAGATACAGAGAAACTATTTCCTCTGGTGGGAAATCCAGAACAAGGGGCATAATCTTAAAATTAGAGCCAGGCCATTTAGGAGTGAAATCAGGAGGCATTTTTCATCGAAATGGCAGTGGAAATCTACCCCAAAAGACTGTGGATGCTGGATCCATTAAAATTTTCAAGATTGATGTGGATAGATAAGTGTTAGGTCAGTATCAAGTGGTATAGGGCAAGGACAGGTAACGGAAGTTGAAGAATGGTAGAACAGATTTGAAGGGCTGAATGGCCTACTCTTGTTCCTATGTTTCTATGAAAAGGACGACCTTCAGGTGCAATCTAAAGACAGACAAGGAAGGGCCAAGGTGGTGGGACCGAGGCAGAGTTCCAAATCACAGGGCATATTGACTGAAAGCCCAGCTGCCGATTATGGAGGGGACGAGGGATGTGCAGGACGCCGGTGCCAGCTGAGCAAAGGGGCAGGTAGAGTGAGTGGGGTGTAAGTATGAAAGGCACTATATAAATTGTTGTTACTATGTTGCTGTAATACTTATTTTAGAAATTATCAAATAATTTTTATTTGGTGGACTCAAATTGATTTTCTTCTTTCCAACATGCATAGTGATAAGAGTATTGACATGCAATCTCTTCTTTTTTAATAAAAACTTCCCATTGATGTGTGTCTTTGTTCCTGATCCTCAGCCTCCTCGTGTTGGGTTGCAGTTTCAGACACTGTCTGCTCTCCAATACCCTACCTATGTGGTAATTATTCATGTGTGAGCCTTGGCAGAGAGCTTCAGCGAGTCACTTGACTGTAGAGTGATTCAGAGTAAAACCTTACCTCTTCCCAGTTGTGCTGCCACATTTACAGACACGACCAGAAGAGGGTGATGGAGATGGATAAGAAACAGGAACCCAGCTTGTTTAACCCTCTCTAACCCCAGGATGGGCTGCGTCAATTTAACCTCTCCCTGTAGCCTCACCTTGAGACAAGCAATCTCAGTATAGACCAGGTTTCAATCAAATACATACGTGGTGAAAACACTGACTGTGTTTCAGATTTGCACAGTTTATATGCTACATTTACCCGCAAATACACATTCACACCATTTCACAGTAATTCCTGCGAAGTACTTTGAGACGTCCTTCAACATACAGGCAATCTAAAGATTGTGGAGGCAGAGGGCATGGCTGATGTACTGAATAAGTACTTTGCATCGGTTTTGACAAAAGAAGAGGATGCAGCCAATGCCACAGTATCGGAGGGGAGGGTAGAGAAACTGGATCAGATAAGAATAAACCGAGAGGAGGTACTAAAAAGGCTGTCGGTGCTCAAGATAGATAAGTCACCCGGTCCGGACATGATGCATCCTAGGTTACTGAGGGAGGTAAGGGTGGAAATAAGGGGGCCTCTGGCCACAAACTTTCAATCGTCCTTGACACCGAGTGGTGCCAGAAGACTGGAGGGTTGCAAATGTTATTCCCCTGTACAAAAAGGGACAGAAGGATAAACCCGGGAACTACAGGCCGGTCAGCCTAATGTCAGTAGTGGGGAAACTTCTAGAGACTATAATCCGGACTAAATAAATTTTCACTTAGAAAAATATGGGTTAATAAAGGACAGCCAACAACAACAACAACAAGATTCCATTTATTGAGCGCCTTTCACGTCGGGAGGACGTCCCAAGGTGCTGTACATGGTTTGTTAAAAGCAAATCGTATCTAACAAACCTGATAGAGTTTTTGATGCAGTAACGGAGAGGGTGAATGAAGGTAGTGCAGTTGATGTAGTTTATATGGATTTTCAAAAGGCGTTTGATAAAGTGCCACATAAGAAACTTGGAAGCAAAATCGAAGCCCCCGTTATTAAAGGGACAGTGGCAGCGGATACAGAACTGTCTGGGAGACAGAAAGCAGAGAGTGGTGGTGAACGGTTGTTTTTCTGACTGGAGGGAAGTGTGCAATGGTGTCCCACAGGGCTGTATCATCCTTGTAAATCTCCTTTGCACCTTCTCCCGTGCCTCTATATCCTTTCTATAATATGAGGACCAGAACTGTACACAGTACTCCAAGTATGGTCTAACCAAGGTTTGATATAAGTTTAGCATAACTTCCCTGCTTTTCATTTCTATCCCTCGAGAAATGAACCCCAATGCTTGGTTTGCTTTTTTTATGGCCTTATTAACTTGCATCACTACATGATAAGACACTATACCAAATACAAGGATGATTATTATTTATGCTTAGATGTCTGCCAGTATTGCTGGTTCATCTTTCCCAGTATTCATTTTGATATCACTCTACTAAACATCAATGCTCTTGTGTAAGGAGAATTCATATTATATTTCTGTATAAAGAATTAATGCAATCCGAGATAGTCAGCTGGCTCAGGAACCAAACTACCGAAATCGCCACAGAGAGTTGACACAATTCCAATATTCTATGCCACACACAACACATTGGAACCAGTTCAGCTGCAAGGAAGCCCTGTTTACCTCCACCAAAGGACACCAACCAACTCATATGTTGTTGGTCATTTGATATCCAATAAGCACAGTGTGGTTAACAGGTACCAGGGACCTGGGTCCTGCTAACTACCGTCCTGGGTGTTTGTTCACAAACCCAGACTCCTGGTAACATCTTCCAACAGCTGTCAGCCCAAACTTCTCGTTAGCAACACCACAGATTTCAGGGAGTAGAAGGACCTATTACAAGACAGCTTATGACATGCACAACCTTGACATTTCAGAGGTCAAAGTCTAACTCAAGACCAATTGCTTAATCAGATCATCCTGTCAAAAACAAATAAAATCAACTCCATCTACACGGTACTCAGCAATAGGCCAGTGCAGACCAGAGGCCTCCTCCCTTGCAGCAAATTCCCCCTTTTTACTACAAAATCACTTTACTGCGTGATCTGTAACTTTGCAAAATGACAATCCCCTGCCCGATCTACCAAATAATAACAATAATCCTTACATTTGACATAGCTTCTTATCACGTTCATTGAGACGTCTCAAAGCGCTTCACAGAATATACTGTAATTTGTGGGCAAATCAAAGGATCTATGATGCGCAAAGGAAAATCTTCCACTGCGATGCCCCAGAGCTCAGAACCCTGAAGGAGAACTGTATGGACATGTATTTTATACAGTACAATCACCCCCCATTGGGATCTTGTTATCATTGAACAACAACAACCATTGTGCCCTTTCTCAGCAGAAACCCAACGAACAATATCCTTACTCCACGCGCCTCGGTTTACCAGCAGTAAGTAGGAGCCCAGTTGTTAGTCGATTGTCAGATCGCTTTCCGGGGGTATTAATCCCTTCAAAAAAATAATGATTTGCTCGCTCAATCCACGACTGTTTGTGGGACACGGCTTGTGCGCATTTCGCCCACAAAATACACAGTCACTACACTTCACAGAATATTCTGTGAAGTGCTTTGAAGCGTCTTTACAAGGCAATAAGGCCCTATATCCAGCCATGTACAGGGCGACAGACACCGACACCGGTGAACACACTGTCACATCCCCTGAGCAAATGCAGGTGACAGCGGGACATCACGTCCTTGTACGTGTGAGCGCTTAATGTGCGAGAGAGATGGACCTGGAGATGGAGAGCAGAGCTGTGCAGCCACACACCCCACACTCCAGCCCCGGACTCTCCCTCCATCTCCCCCCCTCCATCCTCACACTCTCCTCCCATCCTCCCTCCACCCCTCCCTCTCTCTCTCCCCCCCTCCATCCTCACACTCTCCTCCCATCCTCTCTCTCCCTCCCATCCTCCCTCCACCCCTCCCTCTCTCTCTCCCCCCCTCCATCCTCACACTCTTCTCCCATCCTCTCTCTCCCTCCCTCTCTCTCCCCCCTCCATCCTCACACTCTCCTCCCATCCTCCTCCACCCCTCCCTCTCTCTCTCCCCCCCTCCATCCTCACACTCTTCTCCCATCCTCTCTCTCCCTCCCTCTCTCTCCCCCCTCCATCCTCACACTCTCCTCCCATCCTCCCTCCACCCCTCCCTCTCTCTCTCCCCCCTCCATCCTCACACTCTACTCCCATCCTCTCTCTCCCTCCCTCTCTCTCCCCCCCTCCATCCTCACACTCTCCTCCCATCCTCTCTCTCCCCCCCTCCATCCTCACACTCTCCTCCCATCCTCCCTCCACCCCTCCCTCTCTCTCTCCCCCCCCTCCATCCTCACACTCTCCTCCCATCCTCCCTCCACCCCTCCCTCTCTCTCTCTCCCCCCCTCCATCCTCACACTCTCCTCCCATCCTCCCTCCACCCCTCCCTCTCTCTCTCCCCCTCTCCATCCTCACACTCTCCCCCCTCCCTCCCTCTCCCTCTCTCTCCCCCCCTCCACACTCACCATGCTGGGCCTGCTCTCCGGGGCGGGGCGGGGCAGCGCTCAGGGCGGTCCCGAACCCCCTCAGACACTCACACAGACAGGACAGCCCTGAGAGGCGCCACCGCGCAACACCCCATCTCCTCACTGGCCCATCACAGCAGCCAATCCCCGGCCTCCTTACTGAGCAGCCAACCAATGGGAGACAGCGCCATCCAGCCCCGCCCACTGTCACCCCCTCACACCCCCACTGTCACCCCCACTGTCACCCCCTCACACCCCCACTGTCACCCCCTCACACCCCCCACTGTCACCCCCACTGTCACCCCCTCCCCCACTGTCACCCCCTCACACCCCCCACTGTCACACCCCCACTGTCACCCCCTCCCACACTGTCACCCCCTCCCACACTGTCACCCCCTCCCACACTGTCACCCACTGTCACCCCCTCCCACACTGTCACCCCTCCCACACTGTCACCCCCTCCCACACTGTCACCCCCTCCCTCACTGTCACCCCCTCCCACACTGTCACCCCTCACACCCCTCACACCCCCACTGTCACCCCCTCACACCCCCCACTGTCACCCCCTCCCCCACTGTCACCCCCTCACACACCCCCACTGTCACCCCCTCCCCCACTGTCACCCCCTCCCCTCACTGTCACCCCCTCACACCCCCCTCCCCCACTGTCACCCCCTCACACCCTCCCTCACTGTCAGCCCCCCCACTGTAACCCCCTCATACCCCTCCCCCACTGTCACCCCCCCTCCCCACTGTTAACCCCTCACTCCCACTCTCAACCCCTCATACTCACTGTCACCCCCTCACACCCCTCCCCCACTGTCACTCCCTCACACCCCCCCCCACTGTCACCCCCTCCCCCCCACTGTCACCCCCTCCCCCCACTGTCACCCCCTCACACACCCCACTGTCACCCCCTCCCCCACTGTCACCCCTCACACACTGTCACCCCCTCCCCCACTGTTACCCGCTCACACACCCCACTGTCACCCCCTTCCCCACTGTCACCCCCTCACACCCCCCACTGTCACCCCCTCCCCCACTGTCACCCCCTCCCCCCACTGTCACCCCCTCCCCCCCACTGTCACCCCCTCACACCCCCCATTGTCACCCCCTCCCCCACTGACACCCCCCCCCACTGTCACCCCCTCACACCCCCCACTGTCACCCCCTCCTCCACTGTCACACCCTCACTGTCACCCCCTCACACCCCCCTCCCCCACTGTCATCCCCTCACACCCCTCCCTCACTGTCAGCCCCCCCCACTGTAACCCCCTCACACCCCTCCCTCACTGTCAGCCCCCCCCACTGTAACCCCCTCATACCCCTCCCCCACTGTCACCCCCCTCCCCACTATTAACCCCTCACTCCCACTCTCAACCCCTCATACTCACTGTCACCCCCTCACACTGTCACTCCCTCACACCCCACCCCCACTGTCACCCCTTCACACACCCCCACTGTCACCCCCTCCCCCCACTGTCATCACCCCCTCACATACCCCCACTGTCACCCCCTCACACACCCCCACTGTCACCCCTCACACCCCCACTGTCACCCCCTCACACACCCCCACTGTCACCCCCTCACACACCCCCACTGTCACCCCCTCACACACCCCCACTGTCACCCCCTCACACACCCCCACTGTCACCCCCTCACACACCCCCACTGTCACCCCCTCACACACCCCCACTGTCACCCCCTCACACACCCCCACTGTCACCCCCTCACACACCCCACTGTCACCCCCTCACACACCCCCACTGTCACCCCCTCACACACCCCCACTGTCACCCCAGCTAGGGTACAAAACATTGATTGTCCATTGATGTCCTCACATCCCAAAGGCAACATACATATGTAATTTTTCTTCTTGTTGTTGATGTTGAACTATTGAGTGCTTGGAATGCCAAAAAAAAGCTACAAATACACCTTTAATTTGAATCAAGTAATACACACAGTGCGTACACAACAATGAGGTAATGACTTTGGATGTTGTAGAGAAGTATTTGTCAGGATGGCCGAGTGGTCTAAGGCGCCAGACTCAAGGTATGCAATCCTTGCTTTGTGATCCTTCCAGACCCATCTCAAGACCCTCCTCTTCCACTGTGCTTTCAATCACTGTTTCCCCCATTACCCTCCATCCTCCCCGATCCTGACCCCCAGCTCGGGTCCAAAACACTGATTGTCCTGCACCTTGGGATGTCCTCCTGACGTGAAAGGCGCAATGCAAATGTAACTTTGATGTTGTTGTTGTTGGTTGGTTCATTCTTTGGATTCCATTAATTGCAAATGGACGGATTGTGTATTTGACCCACATTCCTGGGCTCAAAGAAATGACATTCAATTCACTCTGTAATTAAAATATTTGTGTCAGAAGTGGGATGTGAACTCATGACCTTGTAAAGAGACCAGAATTCACCATCAATTCTTAAGTCTTGTGCCTTAGGCAACTTGGCCATTCTGACCAACAACAACAAGATTACATGTGTATAACTCCTTTCACATCGGGAGGGCATCCATGGGCCCTGAACAGTCAGAGTGTCGGATCTGAGCTGGGGGTCGGAATCGGGGAGGGTGGAGGGCAGGCAGGGAACGAGGTGATCGAAGGCACGGTCGAAGAGGAGGGTCTTGAGATGGGTCTTGAGGAGGTAGGGAGGGGGCGAGGCAGAGGGACTGCGGGATGGAATTCCAGAGGGATGGGGCAGAGTGGCTTGTTGTACACAGTGTGTACAGTATAATGAGGTAACGACTTTGGATGTTGTAGAAAGTATCTGTCAGGATGGCCGAGTGATCTAAGGCGTCAGATTCACGGTGTGCAATCCTTGCCTTGGCTGGGGATGTCTGGTCTGAGGTGTGGAGGTGCGCAAGGGAGCCAATCTGGAGAGCCTCAGCCTTGGTAACATTCGATTGAAGAAAGTTAGCTCTCAACTAGGACTTGATGTCTGACAGACATTCTGTCAGGACAACAGTGGTCCTGGAGTCAAGGGTGGAGGCAAAGAGATACAGTTGGGTGTCATCCGCATCCATGTGGAAGTTGACCCCATGTCTGTGGATGATGTCACCAAGAGGGAGAAACTGACACATACTTTTCTACAGCATCCAAAGTCGTTACCTCATGTACTGTACACACTGTGTACAACAAATGAGCTTCTTGACCACATCAAGATACAGAAAAGCTGTGGAAAGTATCTGTCAGGATGGCCGAGTGGTCTAAGGCGCCAGACTCAAGGAGTGCAATCCTTGCCTTGCGATGGCTGGGGATTTCTGGTCCCTATCTAGGGGCGTGGGTTCGAATCCCACTTCTGACATGAAGATTTTGATCCCCGAGTTGCCAGTGTTGTTTATATTTTGGGTGAGAGATCGGCATGAGCAACACGGTTACAGTGAGCCTCTGAAAGAGTCGAGAGGTTTACATTAAAGGCAGGAGCTGCCCGTGGTCAGAATGACTGTGACTCAACACTGAATGATAATGGGAATCAGTGAATATCGAGGGTGTGGGGGGAGGAATGTCCAAGGTTTCGTCCTGCCCATCGAAAATAGGTTGGAATGTTGTATGGATGTCGATGGTCAGTGTTGGGGAAGGGGGAAACGTTGCAATGCGATGCTGATCTTTTCTTTGCATTCAAGGCCCCTTTGTTGGAGAGCATCGATTTCCTGCTCATAATGTGCATTCCCTTTACATTGACCATCACAATGTGCTTCCCCTTACAGTATCCATCTCCATATCGCAGTGAACACTGACCTTTATTTCCCCGCCCGACCTGCCCCAATTACACATTCTGCCTCACTCTTGAACCAAAAATGTGTACCTGTCAGATTTATCATTTTTGAGAAATCAATGATACTGAATTCCCCTCATTAACCTCATAAAACGGCAACTCCGGACTCAAAATCTTTATGTCAGAAGTGGGATTCGAACCCACGCCTCTAGAAAGAGACCAGAAATCCCCAGCCATCGCAAGGCAAGGATTGCACTCCTTGAGTCTGGCGCCTTAGACCACTCGGCCATCCTGACAGATACTTTCTACAGGATCCAAAGTCATTACCGTATTGTACTGTACGCACCGTGTACAACAAGTGATTTTCTCAATCATATCAAGACACAGACGTATCTGTCAGGATGGCCGAGTGGTCTAAGGCGCCAGACTCAAGGAGTGCAATCCTTGCCTTGCGATGGCTGGGGATTTCTGGTCCCTTTCTAGGGGCGTGGGTTCGAATCCCACTTCTGACATGAAGATTTTTATCCCTGAGTTGCCAGTGTTGTTTATATTGTGGGTGAGAGGACGCCATGAGAAACTCTGTGACTGTAGGCACTGATAGATTCGAGAGGTTTACCAATAGAAATGGGGATTGCCAGGTAATTCAAAATAGCCGAATGGCAATCTGACTCAACGCTAAATGGTAACTTTAAACTGGTAATATCCTCCTGGTGGGGAGGTTAGAGGGACTCCTTTAGGGTGAACTGACGACATACCTGGCAACAAGATGTCGGAATCATGTTCCTCCTCAAAATGTCCGCTTTCCTTAAAAAATCCACTTGCACATCTCGGTGAACACTGGTCTGCAGCATTTCCCCGCCAATCTACCTCAATTAGCCATTCTGCCTCCACTCTCTTGAAATCCAAATTCTTATTCGTTACATTTATAATTTTTGAGAAATTAGGATACTGAATTCCCCTCATTAACCTCGATTTTAACATCCTTGCGCTCGTTTTCAAATTCCTTCATACCCTGACACCTCCCTACCTCTCCGACCTGCTTACCCCCTCAATCCACTGCCTCCGCTCGACTGGCTCTAGCCTTCTGCTTCCTGCATGTCCCTCATGTCCCCCTATCGACCACTGGTGGCCGCGCTTTCAGCCACTATGCCCCGAACTCTGGAACACTCTTCCTCTGCCCCTTCCTTTCCCATCTTCAGGAAGCGCCTGAAGACCTTATTATTTGACTGTGCCTACGGTCACATTCCCCCCCTCCTGGCTTGGCGTTGTGCTCTGCCACTATCAAGAGCTCTGGGACTAGTGAGCTAGTGTGTGAGGGGTGCTGTATAAATGCAAGTTGTT